CTCATATGTGGTAAAGAAACCAAACAAAAGAATGCACAAAACAAAATGAAAACAAAATCTTAGACTATAAGAATAGTCTCATGGCTATCAGGAGGGAAGCGCTAAGGGGGATGAGTAAACTGGGTAAAATGAGTCAACTGGAAGCTGATGGATGCAAACTAGAATTGTGGTGGCAAACATGGGGTAGTCTGAACAGATATTGACTTATAAAGCTGTACCCCTGATACCTCTATGATCCTATATACCAGTGTTGTTATAGCACAAACCCAAAGGGAAACGCAATGGCCTGGCTGCGAGTCCTCACCGCGCTTACAAACTCAGGACAAGACTCAAGGGCAGTCTCACAGGGAACAGTTAATAAAACATTTATTTACACGGGAAATGAGAACAGGGGGAGCACAGAAAAAGAGAGGAGACCGAGAGAAAAAGGTCGATATGTCCTACAGGTATCGTTTTCTGAGCTGGAACCCCGGATGCAAGCTAAAGGGAAAACCAAGTGCCCACAGGCTCACCTGTGTTCAGTTCTAGAACAAGTATGGCTGCTTAACTCCAGCCCTGGTTCCCAGCAGCTCCCGCTTTGGGCAGTTGAGAGTCATGGCCGATCCATGGCAGATGGGAGTTGTAGTCCTCAGCACCTGGCATCTCTGGCATAGGTGGGGGTGGAGTCCATAAAAGATCAGCGAGTGAGTGAGTTCAGGACATACTATTCCCCCAACATGAGGATGCCTCGGTCAGAGCCTACAGAAGCTGGGAAACATGTTACAGCGTGAGACCCCCAGATGAGCCACCAGCATCCTCAAGCCCCGGGGGGGGCCAAGCCTGCCAGTCCCCTTGGGTCTCACTCCTTGGCCAGTGCAGGAGGAGTGAAGACAAAGGAAAGCAGTAGAAATTTTTTTAAATTCCAATTTATGTCTTGAAGAAACATGGCATGTTGTATGAACCAAGCACTGTGCTCAGAGCATCAAACATTTTAATTGCATTTAGTCTTTGTAATCCACAGTATAAACCTGACCTCTCTCCCAAAGGTGGAGTGACTTTAAGGGCCACTGCCCATTCCTCGACATCACAGGGAAACCCAGAATCTTCCACAGACCCTTCCTCACAAATCCTGCTCTAGTAGGAACCTAGGAGAGCTTGGGTTCAATCATTGTTATTTAAGGTTCTCTTCGCATCCCACCAACACCCCAACTCACCCTCAAGTTTCTCTCTTAAGATTTTGTTCCATGCAGCAGTTTCCATCTTAGCCCACCAGTGTCGCCAAGAGGGAGAACCCACATCCCTCACAAAATCACTCCACAACAAGGGGGTTGGTTTAGGGGACAAAAACTAGGAAGGATTCTGTTTAAAATTATGAGTCCTTCTGACCAACACAACCAGCCATGTCATGCACAGGAGCCAGGCTAAGCTGGACCTTGTAGGCACAACCTGTGTCTGTGTCTTGGACGTTTGAACTATGGACTCCAGAAGTGCGTCACCACCGATCCCAGGGCAGACAGGGCGCCAGCTGGCTCCTGGCGGAAAACAGATGGCACACTCAGAAGGGCTTTTTTAAGAAATTTTTTCATGGAAAAAAGTTTGCACACAGAGGTGCAAATAAGAACTAGCAGTCGCCTAGAACTGAAGCAGCAGGGAAGGAAATGGCCTTCCTGAGGCCAAGTCGGAGCTAGAGCTGCGGAACTGGGGCCACCCACGGAAGAACAGTCATTGCTGCAAATGCTACATGAACTATCTGAGGCTGCGGAAGAAATTTTCCAAAACCAGCAGTTTCAAATAGCATCGCTTGTCTCTTGCATCCGCGAGGGCCAGGCGCCCAGGTGCAGCTTCGCCGGGTCTGCTGCTCAGTCTCTGAAGGTGCGGTAGAGAATGAAGTCACCCCACGACTTAACTGTAAGAAAATAGGGTTGCAGCTCAATCATGTGGCTATTGGCCGGATTTAGCTCCGACAAATGCTTCCCTGAGGGAGCTGCAGGCTGGGACTGCCCTCCAGGCCGCCCTGGGAATTGCTGCATAGGGCAGTTGACACCATGAGCCTCATTCAACAGCACAAGCAAACTGAGGGCACGAGGGACACACGGACAGAGAGAAAGTGTGTGTGTGTGTGTGTGTGTGTGTGTGTGTGTGTGTGTGTGTGTGATTTCTAGCTTCCTCGGCTGCTCCAAGGAGAGAAAAATCTCAAACATCTCACAACCAAACAATGGTGACTTTGAGGCACAGGGATTGTAACAAAGCCTGATAAAGGGGAGCAGCTCCCCCCGATACTGTTTCAGAGGAACCCAAAGTTGGATTAAAAAAAAATTAATCCTGGAGACAATGGCAGTATCCCAAGAAACCTAGAGAAATAAGTAACACCAATCAGAGAAGCAAGAAACAAAAGTTGACATCTCCCCTCGTGGCAAGATCTGTCCACTCTACCACGATTCGACATGTGTGGAAATAACCTCTCGGACAAACACAGCTGTGTGTGCAGACATCTTTGCACAGAGACATAAATCCGTAGCTAGATGAGAAAGATAAGCACATGGAAAAGCAGTTACTGACAGGTTTCCCTTAAAAAAAAGAAATAAAAACTTTGATCATGTCGGAGTGTAAAGGAAATGGTGGGCGGGGGGTTGTTCCAGCGGTGTAGATACAGGATTCCAGTTTTGCAGAAGTTAAATGCACCAAAGGTTGACTTCACAATACCATGAATATATTAACACTGTTGAACTATACACTTAAAAGTGGTTGAGACTGAAAACTCTACGTTATATGTATTTTACCACAATTAAAAATTAAAATTAAACAATTTGAATCCATGGGCAGAGCTGCAACATGTCGGGATCGCTGGCACAGTCTCTCCCACAGGAATAACCAGATCCCCAATATAAGTCACATGAAAATCTCACCAGCTCATCACCAGAGTCACTGGGGAAACCCTTGCATCGCCTCCCTTGAGCTGGCGTCTTGCTGCGCACCACCGTGGTGGAGCAGAGAGGAGAGGGGAATTGTGGGCACGGAGGCAACCGCTCCTGGTGGAGCCCACTCTAGTGGGCTCAGAGGGGTGCAGATAACCTCCGGAGCAAGCAGGAACTGCATGCACTTTACTGACTGAGGTTGGGACAGACCTACAGGGACCAGAGAGGAGGTCAGAAGCATGAAGGGCCTTGACCACATGGCCAAGCAGTTCGGTCTTTCTCCCGCAGGGGATGGGTGGGCGCGACAAACTGTTGAGTAGAGAAGAGGCACAAAAAGCCCAGGAGATTCCTCCAGGCCTCGTGTGGAGGGTGGGTGGACTCACGCGTGGAGACAGGCAGGAGGCCCGCAGAGCAGGGAGAAACTACTAAAATAGTTGTCTGGAAACGTCGGAGACTGAAACTTGTGGATTTTTAGGGTCATAAGGAAATAAGCCGGAGGGTTGACACGACACTGATTGCAAATGCCCTCACCTGCCCCTACCCTGTTCCCAAGGGCCCTGGGCGGTGGGCGGGAGGTTGCCACGGGGAGCGGGAAATTCAGGAGGAAGGGGAGGTGGGAGGCAGCCCAAGACAAACTTCCTTCAGAGCACAAGCTTGCCTCAGGAGAGAGCAGCGTAGATGGCTGCCAGCACCCCGGGCTCTTTCCTCGCTCGCTGCTGCCAGAGGTTGGCACAGCCCAACCCAGAGGGCGCTGGGGTCAACAGGTGGCACCTTACCCCTGAGGAAGACCTCACAGGTCCAGCAATCAGTGCCTCCTGCTGAGGACAGGAGACTGGTGCCCAGGGCCCTCTCCTCCTGGAGATGACCCAGAACCAGGAACCCGGAGATCATTGAACGCTCCAGGGGAGGAGGGTACCGGAGATCGGCTAGTTCAGCCCCTGGGCCCAGGCCCAGGCACCCGAGCCCCAGGACATTCCCCCGCTCCCTTCAGGTGTCTCTCGGGGTCCCACTGCCCCACCTTGCCCTCTTCTAGAGCCGCCAGACCCTGGGTGTGGAAGGCAAAGGGTCATAACTGGCAAAGGGCACTAACCTGGGACAAAACCCACCCAGATGAGTGACCTTACACAAGACACCTCGGCTCTGTGAAGAGCAGTGTCTTTGCTTGACAAATAACATACACCTCACATCCACCATGGCCTAGAGAAAATATCCCATATAATTTAGTCAGGACAGTTCCTGGCATGTAGCTGGAATTCCTGGAACGGCCTCGCTCCCTTGAGCCCGAGCTGACGGGGAGCTTTATCTGTGGTTTGGGGGACAGCCTGGCCTTTCCTTTATTCATTCACTTGACAAATAAAATCTGGGACCCTGCTGAGAGCCTGCAGCCTTTCAGGTGCTAGGAAAACAATGGCCAACAGAATGGATATAATCCCACTCTTCCTGGAAGTCCCCTTTTCCTAAGGAAGGTGCAATTTATTAAGGGACAACAAACCAAAGTAAAATTACATGAGTAATTTGTACCATAAAAAAGAGAAACTCAGGGCCTTCCTGGTGGTGCAAGGAGTTGTGTCTCAGCACTATGAAGCCATCTGCAGCCACCACAGCAGTTTGATCCCCAGCCAGGTAGCTACCCACATGGCACAGCAGACCACTCCTGTCTTGCCCGCCGCTCCCCTCAGCAGTGCTTTCAGTACATCTGCCTGTTCTGCTCCCCACTCTGTCTCTGGTGAATCCTCTCACCCCTGCACCTCTGACCTGTGCCCCAGCTCTTGTATGCATAAATGAAATAAAATAAAATTTTTAAAAAGACAGACTCATCTCCAGTCAGTTATTCCAAGGGCTGGCACACCCTGTCGTGTCCGGGCCAGGGGGCATGCTGGGGGCCCTACTTACCTGTTAACTGGTTTCCAGAAGATCCAGTTCCCCAAAACAAAGGTATTCAGAATAGGGAACTTGGGAGGGGAAATCTGGAACGCACCCAGGTCCAATCCCGAACCAGGCACTCTAGAGCCCATCCCTGCTCCAGAATAAATAAAGCTCTCCCGGTCACCCTCCCAGCAACACTAAGCAGCTCCCCCAGGGAACAGGACCCCACACGGCTCCACCATGAAGTTCTTCAGCATCCTGCTGCTGGCCAGTCTGGCCTCCACCTCTCTCACTGCCCTTCACGGTGAGTCTGGCTGCCTTTTCACCCCTGTCCCCCAGAGGTCACTGGGCTGTCATATGGAAAGGCCTCAGCACTCAGCAGACCTTTCCTTAATCCTTGCCGTGTGCTGTGTGGAAAGGTAAGGACATGTAGAAGCGAAAGGTCACACCTGAGGTGACAGGTATAGTGGCCCGGGGCGGGGGCACATGACCCCAAGAATTCTGTGCCCTAGAAAGCCTGGAGCTGGGACCACAGGGGCCAAATTGGACCCAAATCAGGGAGGACTAAGGGTCAACAGAGACCGATTCAATTGCAGTCTCTCATGACAATGAGCACCTCAGGCAGAGTCCCTGCCCTCCCAGCCCTTCTGCATGGCCCCCTGTACAAAGAGGGCAAGACAGGGCCTCCCTGGTGGCGCAGGGGTTGGGCTGCAACCTGTGAAGCTGTCCGCAGCCTCTACAGCACGAGTTCGATTTCCGGCCAGCCAGGGAGCAACCCACATGGTGCAGCAGACTCTCCTGTCTCGCCCGCTGCTCCCCTCAGCAGTGTATTTCATTCAGTCATTCTGCCTGTTCTGCTCCCCACTCTGTCTCTGGTGAATCCTCTCAACCCACCCCCCCTACACACACACACACACACCCCTCTGGCCTGTACCCAGCTCTTGTATGCATAAATAAATAAATCTTTTGAAAAAAAAAACAAACACAAAGAGGGCAAGACAGACACGCACATTCCTCAGCAGCTGTGTATTAAGGACTTACTCTGCGCAGACACAAAGTTTAGGTGTTCAGGATACACCAATAGCCGGAGACTCCATCATGGCTGAGGGAGAGACAAACAACATGTATCAAATAAATTACAAGTGTTAGAAGCGCTAAAACAAAACAAAACAAAACAAAACAAAACAAAAAAACAGCACCAGAGAAGCTTTTTAAAAATGCGAGGTCAGACAGGCGCGTCTTGCATATGAAATATCTGGAGACTTTCACCCCTTATTTTTCAGAGCCAGAAAATAAAGTTCACCTGGTACAGCACCCCACAGATGCTGGTAAGTCTCATGCTGGCATTCTTTAGTGTAAGCTGGTGATGACTAAGAGATTGTCCAGTAAACAATGACATCTCCGCCTGGAGAAGCAGAGCCAAGACGGTCCCTCTTGGTGTTCGGCTGAGGCTTTCCTGCTGCCTTCATTGGCCAAGATCTGGGGCGCAGAAACGATTTGAACGGCACTGGACTCTGGGTAGTCACAGGAGACAGGCGCGGGGGCTACATGCCGTATCCAAATGTGCCTGGTCAGACTTTCAGCACCCCCTGAGGTGAGGGGTGAACTGGTCCCAGACACCCCGCTCCCCAGCGCAAAGCCGCGGCCGTTACAGACGTCTGCTTTGTGGGTCACCGGCGAGCATGGTTTCCCCCCTGGCTAGCCGCCCCCAATTGACCTGGGAGAAGCCAGAGAATTCACGCAATTCCTAGAATTTCAGGGGAAAGAGCCAATAGCTACTGAGCCGCCTTGGGCACCAGAGGGGTCTGCATAATCCCTCTAGCTGGGAAGGCCAATTTGCTAGAACTGTAGTTGCTGGTCAACGGCCTTCGAGATCAGAGATGGGTCTCTGGGGCCCCAGAGATCTGCTGCTGGTCAACCCCGCGTCCAGCTAACTGGGCAGCGAGTCCACCTCGGGCCCTCCACGAAGGGCCGACGGCTTCTCACCAGGACTTCTTTCTCTGCCCTCCGCCCCACCCGTCTCCTCAGCCCCAGCCACGCAGGTCACCCCCAGCGGTCATCCCCAGAAGGACCAGGCCCCCAAAAAGGACGCTGCTAAGGAGGCTTCCATCTCCATAGAAGAGCTCTTTTCCCAAGAGGAGGTTGTGATCAAATCTATCAGGACACCCAAGAATCCAAAGCCTGAGCTGCCTCACCTCATCGCGCAGGCGAACAGCTTCAAAACCACTCACCTTGAGGAAAAACTCAGCGCATCCCACACACTCTCTGAAGAGGCCATGACTGAGCTCACCCCCACGGCTGGTAAGAGGCAGCAAGAGGTCGGGGCCGAGGCTGAGCCAGCTCAGGGGACACAGCTGGGACGGAGCGGGACAGGAAGCTTCCCAGGGAACAAGCATTAAAGAGAAATGAGATGCAAGCAAGCTGTTGGTCGCTGGTGCCAGCTCTGGGGCTCCTGCTGGAGTGGGGGTGGGGGGTGTGGGGATTAGCATCACCCCGACATTTCTCTCCCAATATTCCCCAGCAACCACCTCAGAGGAGCAGCTGGCCAAGTACAGCTATGAATTTGGGAAGAAAGTGGAGAAAGAGATGAAAAAACTCATCAACTATCTGAAGAGCCTTTTCCCTCGCATCTCTGAAGTCACAAAGGCCTGATGGGCAGGACACCGGCGCCCCAGGCTGAGGCCGGGGAGGCTCGTGCAGCCCCACGCCCCGCTCGCCACCCTCACAAGCCTCATTAAAGCGTTGCATCCCCAGCCTGGCTGTCTGGTGGGTCACTGCGCGGGGACGGAAGGCACGAGGCCCACTGCCCTGGGCCCCTCCCTGGCGACGCCGTCCCTTGGATTCTAAACCTTTCCTCCTCCTCAGCTTAGGAGAATGTTCAAGTCTCCACATCCCAAAATAGCCTTTGTGGAGTCCCGACTGGCCTCAAACTGCCCCTCTGCCCTGTGGATTTCCGCCGCCTGCAGGCTGCCTCACCCCCTGCCCCCCAACCCCACACACTCCCCGAAGCGGCCACAACTGCTCTCCCAAAGCCACCACAGCAGCGAGGGACTCTTCCAGCCCTGACCCTCTCCACGCTGTGCCCTCCGGGTTCTCTGAGCTCCCTGATCCTTTCCTAGCAGGTACCTGCACCTCTATCCTCTCCCCGGCCTGGGGGAACCCTCCTCCACCTCTAAGGTGTGACCCTAGGACAGTGGGGTGAGACCTGAACCTCCTGGGATGAGGCAGCTGGAGAGCCGCTGGCCTGGGCAGGGGCTGCTTCATGGCGGTCTTTCCCCCATGAAATGTAAGCAGTTCCCCCAGCACCTCCAAAGGTGACTAACCCCATCCCCATGTTGCTCATGGGTCTTCCTTTTTCAAGGTCAGAATAGGATGGCACCAACAAAACTTAGAGGCACCAGCTTAGTCTCAGGCCCTAGGCAATTACGTGCCCAGGAGCTACTGTGTGGGATTTTATGGGTTGGTCCAGGAGGAAGATGCTGGGGCAGTGGGGCTGGGTGGGGAGCGGGGTGCTGTCAGCCACGCCTCTGGTGCACATGCTCTGCTCAGCCTCCAAGCAGTGCAGCGGCTGCTGGTGGGAATACCCCCTCTCATGGATGCACCCCAGAAGCGTGGGCTTCCACTGGCAGCTCATGGCAGCGCAGAGGGGCTGGGATCTATCTGACTTGGCCGAAAAGGTGATGGCAGGGTACCCCAGTGGCTGTCTCCTCCTGATGCACGGGGAAGTGCGCTCAACCGGAACCAAGTGGCTGCTGCCAGCAGTGGTTCTGGATAAGCAGAACCTTATCTGACAAGATGAGCAGGAAGCCCTTGACGTCTCCTCGCCAGGATGCCTCAGTCTATCCTAGTTCTTTACAGTTCCCAGCAAGTGAACTTAAATCTCAGCTGGGAGAATCTGCGGGAAGGTTATTTGAGCATGAAAGGAGGCCGTCTAAGAGCACCCTACAGTCTTGGAGGTGCCTAGTTTCTCTCAAAATGGGGTGTTTAAGACATTTCTGCCCTCTTGGGACATTTGCAAATTTAAAATAAAGGTCCCAGGCCTCCCTGGTGGCTCAAGGGGTTAAGCACCACACTGTGAAGGAATCCACAGCCTCTGCAGCACGAGTTCAATCCCCGACTGGCCAGGGAGCAACCCACATGGCACAACAGACCTCTCTTGCCTCGCCCGCTGCTCCCCTCAGCAGTGTATTTGGGTCAGTCTGCCTGTTCTGTTCCCCACTCTGTCTCTGGTAGATCCTCTCACCCCCTCACCTCTGGCCTGTACCCCAGTTCTTATATGCATAAAAAAATCTTTTAAAAAATTTTAAAAATAAAATAAAATAAAGGTCCCAATAGTCCCAATTTAACTCGCATGTGACTGGATCCAGTTCTTTCCTGCATGAAATCCCTTTAGGGTGTGTTTCATTTTCTCAGCACAGGCAGTTAGTCCTGGCTCCACACATCCCTAGGAATGTCTCCTCAGGGTGTGGCAATACCTTCCCTTTGAATAAGGGTGTCCCTTACCTGGTAAGCCTGCAATGCTAGCCACTGACTCTCATGCTGTGGCCACCTGTTGCTGGGACAGCGCTGCCTTCCCCGCAGCCTCCAGGCTCCGTGCTCCCTCTAGCGGCCTCTCTCTGTTCGGCACAGTTGTTAAATCCAAGTCTGGTTTTTCCTCCCCATCTGCAAATGAGCAGCCTCATCTAGTTCTAGCCTTAAAAGCATGTAGGTGAAAGCATTTCTCTTTTCTTTTTCCTTTTAAGATGGCCTCCAAGAACTCGACCCTTCTCCCAAGAAAGCCTTCTCTCTTCCTGCAGTTCAATCAACAGAACTCGCTTCTTTTTTCTTTCTCTTTCTTGGCTTGTCTCACTTTATTTATTTTTTTTTTTACTCTTTTTTTTTTAATTTTCTAGAGGCATGTCTTATTTATTTATTTGTTTGTTTGTTTGGTTTATACAAGCACTGGGTACAGTCAGAAGCCGGGAAGGTGAGAGAACTCACCAGAGCCAGAGCGGGGAGCAGAGCAGGCAGACGGACGAAGTACACTGCTGAGGGGAGCAGCGGGCGGCAGGAGAGGTCTGCGCGCCATGTGGGACCCTCCTCCGGTGGCCGGGGAGCAGCCGGGGATCGAACCGGCGCCGCAGAGGCCGCGGGCAGCTTCGCAACCCAGCGCTCAACCGCTGCGCCACCTGGGAGGCCCAATGGCTTGTCTCACTTTAGATGAACCCCATGTCTCCTGGACCCCCTGAATCAAAACCTAGTTTCTAGGGACAGAGTGTCCCACGTCTCAGACTCATTGCTTTTCCCCATCCTTCAGTTTTTTATTGAATTTTCATTTCAATTTCATTGACTTTTTTCTCCTACCTTCTACTTACTTTGGCCTCACTCTTTGGTCTGGAGTCTGTCACATCAGCCTTTGGACCCCACCACACCTCTGTGGTTAATTCCTCAGTGGGTCTCTGAAATCTACAATCCTGGCCAGGGCTTAATAAATGTGCAATCCCTGGGCCTCCCTCGTGGTGCAAGGGGTTAATTCTCAGCACCACAAAACTATCTGCAGCCACTACAGGACGAGTTCGATACCCGGCCAGGGAGCTGACCCATATGGCACAGCAGACCTCTCCTGACATCCTGCTTCACCCCTCAGCAGTGTATTTCAGTAGATCTGCCTGTTCTGCTCCCTGTTCTGTCTCTGGTGAATCCTCTCACTCCCCACACCTCTGGTCTACACCCCAGCTCTTGTATACATAAATAAATAAATCTAAAAAAATTTTAATAAATGTGCAACCCCAAGCCAACTTAACCAAGCCAACTTGAGACTATGTCGTAGGAAATAATTCTAGAAATCTGAGTTGACCATAAATAAAATTCCTCCATGGTTCCTTCTGGGGCCTTCAGCACAATTCAAAACAAAGCAGGCAGCCAGGATCTCGGACAGCCCAACCCAGCACCACACAGTAAAGTTTAGCATGAAGCATCTGCAGCCTTTCAGTCTTGCACTCTGCACGCTGGTGCAATTGGGGCTTTTGCATTCCATCCTCATTCTAAAGCTGCAGGTCCGAGTTCCCGTCAGAGCCTTTGCTTATTGAAATCCACTGGATTTGAGCAGCCCAAAGCCGGTCTCTAAGTTTACTATCAACGCTCCAGGGAGGCCCACCAGTCTGTCATCCCTCCACCCCCTCTAATTCTAGAATCTGAGAAGATGCAGAGAACAGAAGGCAACGAAGAAACAAAAGTATCAGTTTTATTCATGGTCGGACAAGTGCCAGACGCCTGGCACACACTGGCATCTCTGGCAAAGACGAGCTGTGCAGCTGAGACACAGGTTCAAAAGGATCCTCTACTTGTTCCTTCTCTCCACCTGAGCCACTAAACAGAAAGGGAAACAGCAGACATCCCCAGGGAAGCCCCGTCCGTGTGTGTGTGTGTGTGTGTGTGTGTGTGTGTGTGTGTGTGTGTGTGTGTTTGCATCAGGAGAGGGCAGCAGCGAGGCAAAGCTATTCAGGAACATTCTTGCACGTGCCTTCACCCCACTGCCTAATGAAACACATCCAGTAAATGTTCTCTCTGCCCAGCTGCCATAGCAGCCCTCCCTGCAGGAGGGAGCAGGCCCCTGGCAGAGTCGATCCTTTCATTTTGTATTAGTTTCTAATTACAATTGCAAATGGAAAATTACACAAACACCCTGACTTAAAACAACACAAGCCTATTATCTGTAGCTCTGGAGGTCAGGTGTCCAAGCTGGGTCTCCCTGAGCTGAAATCAAAGTGTCAGCGGGGTTACATTCCTTTCCAGAAGCTCCTGGGGGGGCATCCCCTTCCCTGCCCTTTGCAGCAACTGCCCACATTCCTTGGCTCATGCCCCACTGTCCCATCTTCAAAGCCAGTAACTTCCAGTCAAGTTCTCACTTAACCCTCAACCTGGTTCTCCTCTGATTGCCTCTTTCACCTGTAGGACTCGTGATTCACTGGATCCACCTAATAATCTGAAAATAATCATTTCAGATCATTCGAAAGCCAACTGATTAGTAACCTTATTTCCATCTGCAACCTTAATTTCTCTTTGCCCCACAACCGGACGTACTCAACGCGCACACAACACAACCTCTTAGAGGCTCTGCTGCGCGGGCTGCAAGAGCATGCTTCCTTCCAGCCCGGCGAAATCTGTCTCCCTCTCACTTGCATCGCTGGAGGAGCAGCGAGAGAAGTCGGTGTTTCCATGTGACCTTTGAAACATCTGAAGGCAATTATCATTCTAATAATAAATGCTACCATTTAACGAACACTCGCAGGCACTGCGCTAAGCGTTTTATATATATTATCTCATTCAACACTTGCAACCTCCCGAGCATGTGGGAACCGGTTATTCCCATTCTGTAGATTAGGAAGTAAGTTCAGAGAAGTGGAGCATCAGCCCGGGGCCACCAGGGTACCGGAAGAAACAGGGTCTGCTCCAAGGCCTTCTGGCTCCATCGGAAACCATGCCCTCCCAACCCTGCTGGCCACCATCACCCCACCACTAACGGAGTCTTCTTTTTCTCCCCACTAAACATCAAAAGCTTCAAGTGCTCCTTCTCAAGGCTCCACCCTCCCATCTCCTCTGAAAAGTGCAATAAATTCCTTAAAGCTCAGAGCCTCCGCCTGGAGATTGGTGAGTGGGGAAGGGAAGCTCTCCCTTCTAGGAGGGATACAGAGAAACCAAACAAAGGGCCAGGAGCAAAGCACAGTTTGCAAGCTGAACACAGATCTGAGGCTAGCAGCAGGGCTGGGGGGAGGGGAGGGGAGGGGTCAACCCAGGGCGGGCAAGCGCACAGGGACTGGGGAGGCGGGTCCTGGGTGCTTTGGTGGTGGGAGAACTCCAGGGACTGCACCTGAGGGGAGAAATCGATTACGGTTCAAAAGCAAACAATGATGTAAAAAATAAATGCATTAAAAAAAAAGAGAAGGGACGCTCTGTTTCCCACATGGGGTCTTCCCAAAGTTCCCCCATTCGACCCTAGACGCTCCTCATCCTGAAACACGCCCGGGAAACCCACCACTTTCTGATGCCCCCCACCTCCCCTGTGCTCATCCCTCTTCTTCCCCAAAGTCCTACTCATCCAGAAAAAAAAAAATCCTAAGCCCAATTCCTCTCCTCTGTGAAGCCTCCTTCTTCAGTGCCCTGAAGTCCTTCTTTTGTCCAGCTTCACTGAGATGTAGCAGACACATGACAGCGTAAGTTTAAAGTACACAGCATCGTGATTCGCTGTATGACTATGTTGCAAAATGATTCCCATCACTAGTTTGGTCAGCTCCCATCACCTCCTGGTGACAACAGTGTGTGGTGAGAACCTTCAAGATCAACTCTCTTAGCAACTTTCTTTTTTTTTTGAGATTTATTTTTTATGCATACAAGAGCTGGGGTTCAGGCCAGAGGTGTGGGGGGGTGAGAGGATTCACCAGAGACAGAGAGAGGAACAGAACAGGCAGATTGACCAAATTACACTGCTGAGGGGAGCAGCGGGAAGACAGGAGAGGTCTGCTGCGCCGTGTGGGTAGCTCCGTGGCTGCAGGAGATTGAACTCGTGCTGCAGTGTCTGAGGATAGCTTCATAGTGATGCATCTTAAGCCCTTGCGCCGCCAGGGAGGCCCTCGCTTAGCAACTTTCAAATATACATGACAACATTGTCAGGCTCAGTCCCCACACTGTACAACAGGTCCCCGGGATGTCTTCATCTGATGAGGGCAAGTTTGTACCTTTTGACCAGCGTCACCCACGCCGCCCCCCTCCGCCCCCGGCCCTGGCCACCCCTCTGCTCTCTGTTTCTAGGAGTTGGGTACAAGGCCCTTTCTTCTGCAACCGCAGTTACTATTCTGCAGCTCACCAAGTCTGTTCCCAGACCTCCCTCCCCGGCGGGGCTTCTTCAGGGTAGAGTGTGGTTTTAATCTCCAGACCCATTGCAGTGTAGGTGTTTAGTAAGTGGCTGTGCTGTCAAATGCAGACTGGTTAGACCGGAGAAAGTCAGAAAGTGGGGCCTCCATCGGGAAGCGATTGAAGGTGTCAAGAGAGCTGAGCCCCTCCAAGTGGCCCAGCAGCTACCTGGGCGCCACCTGGTCTCAGGAAATTGAGTGAAATAACTTGTTCCAAAGGCAGGCCGCCAGGAGGGGAGGGTGAGGGCCAGGAGCCCGGAGGGAGAGCCCAATGGATGAGGGTGGAGGATTATGGGTGCCTTGGTGGCGGGTGCCGTGACACACATCTCAGGAGGTGTGAGCTGTGCCTCTAAATCATGTATAGTGATGGAAGCCTATGTTACTGCAATAAAAATAATAGTTAATTTTGAAATTGTGAATTAATTTTTTAAATAATGCAAATAATTTTTTTAACTGCTCCACTGAGTCCAGGAAGGGAACCGGGTTTGACGCCGGCTCTGCCGCCCTCTGGCGGCTGTTTGTCTCGGGCGCGTCCGCTCAGTGTCTCGCTGTCCCCCTGCAGAGAAGTTGCAGGTATGCATTTAGAACCAGGTGCCCCTCTCTCCTGGCACAATCTTAACTGTCCCTGTTGCCTTTGCAACAGGATATTAAAATCATAATTTCAGCGAAGCAAGACACAATAGATGAAATTTCAAAGGGAGGTGCCGAATCATCCTATGAAGAATTTCAAAGGAAATTTATAAAAACTAGTTTCCGATCCCCTGCCAGATTAATGATATAAAAGGCATTATAATAAGGAGGCAGAGGAGGATTTTGTCAGAAGGAGATGGATAGAGAAAGCTGTGTGATGAGCTACCCGCCTCCCCAGGAAGGGTGGGCGGGCTCACCCCTTGATAGCAAACCCAGCAGATCTTTGCATGGGTTACCCAAGAGCTGACTACGTGACCCCTAAAGCTAGCAGCAGAGTGTTCTGGGGCTTAGGTGCCAGCTAGAAGTTAAAAGGAGAGAGAAGGTCTCAGGGGCGGGCAGAGCTGGTGTTCCAGAACAACTCTGGGCCCCCAGGGTTTTCCCAGCAAAAGAAGAACTGGCTCTGGGTTCTGGGAGAGAGACCGGTGTACCCCCCACGTCCGTTTAGGCACCTGGACATTACAGCGACCTCAGGGGACAAAAGGACCCCAGCAGCTGAGGAAAGAGGCTCAAACCCCGGCGATAAGGGAGAAGAGAACATCGGAGGGGCCACCTCAGCCGATGGAGGAAGGAGGCTGAGTGCCAGCTGAGGTGAACACTCGCCCACCCTCCTGTCTGAGGCACCCCTACTCCTCACCAACGCACTTCACCTGGAAACAGCAGCAGCCGGCGGGTGAAGGGCAGGCCTTGGGAGAGGAAGCAGGAGCCAGGACTGACACGGAGAACAGCCGGCCTCAGCTCCTCTGGCTCCGACTGACGCTGGGCCCGCTGGTTACACAAGAGAAACAAGGACTTTCAGGTTTTAATCCATGTATCGGCCTGGCCCAGCCATTCTCCCTCTGATGTGAGGCTCCCTCTCACCTGAGAATGAGCACGTTTTCACTGAGGAACAAGGGAAAATATTACTCCTGCCCACCGGCCCCTATAAAGTATAACAGATTGTGTCACGAAATCAAACTCTTTATAGGATCAAATGCCACTTTATTTTTTTACTATATGACGAGTCGTGGTTGAGGTGTAACATACGAGGGGATACAGCTGGTAAATGTAATGCATAAAACCTGACGTGGCTACACTCTCCCCTCCAACGGGACGAAATTATAAGGACCCAGGACTTTGCACCCAAGTTCCCTCAGCTTTCTTTTCTCCAATCTTGGGCTCCCCTGCTCCCAAGCCTTCCCCTCATTTCCAGCCTTTCTAGAGCTTCTCAGACCCAGTCTCACCCCACCAGGGGTGCAGCACACCCCCTCCACTTCTTGGGGAGAAGCAAGAGAAGCAACCCCTGGGGTTCTTGGCCCCCCCCACACGCACTGTCACTCCCTGTGGTGGGGTGGATAGAAAAGTGTCTCCAAAAAATGTATGTCCACCAAGAACCTCAGAATGTGGCCTTATTTGGAAACAGGGTCTTGGCAGATGTAATTAATTAAGAAGTTGAGATAAAATTATCCTGGATTCAGGGTGGGCCCTAAGTACAAGGACGGATGTCCTTATAAGAAGAGGTGAGGACACAGGCAGAGGAGAGAGAAGGCCATGTGGATGCAGCGGCAGGCATTGTGCTGGGCCCTGGGCCACCACATACAGGAACCTCTGGGGGGGTAGGGTGGCCAGGAAGCAGCCAGAGGGTCGAGGAAGCCTTCCCCCCTGTGCCTTCAGAGGGCCCGCAGGCCAAGCTGAGGCTTAGCTTTCTGGCCTCCACCACTGAGAGAATAAATTCCTGTTGTTTTAAGCCACGAAGTGGTGGTGCTTTGTTACAGCAGCACAGCATCCCGCCATGAGCCCAGCTGCAGCAGCCATGGTGGCCAAGGCCAGGGCGCAACCCCGTAAAGCCTGAAGGGGGAGAGCTGGAGAATGGGCTGTAACTTTCAAATGACCCCCTCCAACCACTCTCCCCTGCCGAGCAGCCTCGGGAGAAAACCAGCGCTGTTCCCTGCCCTACCATCAACACGCCCAGGCCCAGGGGGCCCAGCCCCTCCGTGCCTGGTAACCTGCCCCCACGCTGTCCTGTGGCTGGGAAATTTTCCATCCCACCCCACGTCAAAGTCATTAGATTTAATCATTAACAGGCCCGTATTAATTAGCAGGGCAGGGAGATCATCCGTGCTGCTGAGGGCACAGCTGGATTTCAGGCACAGCTGGTCAGACAAGGCCGCGAAAGGGCAGGATCTAGCTGAAAAGGGTCAGGGGGTGTGAATTCTGACAGCTGTAAAGTTCCCATTCCATCTTCTCTGCTTTTTCCAGAGAAAACATCTGCTAAGATGAACTCTTCGCTACTCATTTCCATTTCTCAAGAGTTTGGTGGGCGCTGGGCGCTGAGCTCTGAGCTAGGCACTTCACGCCCAGGGGTTCATCCTGCGCTTCGACTATAATAATAGGGATAACTGCTGCTAACAGGTGAGAAACTGGGGCTGAGCCACTCGCCCAGGTCACTGAGTGACAGAGCTGGGATTTGCACTCGGGCAGCTGCTCCAGAGGCTGAATGTCCAGTCACCATGGGGAGAAGGGAGTCCGAGCAGGCCGGGGTCAAGCTGACCTACCTCCTTCAGGATGCGCCTCATTCATGTGCTTCCACTTGTAATTATAAGAGTCATCATCTATAATTGCTGAGTCACTCTACTGCCCAGCCCCACCAGGGTCAAGACGCCAGGGGACAGAGACTGTCTGTGTTCCACGGTACCCCAGCATGGAGCAGAACCCTGGAATAGATGAATACCCAGTGAAGACTCAGGGGGAGAATACATGCAACCTTAGAGTATTGTGGGGGAAGGCCAGTTGGGAAGGGGGTCTCCTAGACTGGATGATGATCACAGGGTTACAACATATCTTAAGAGTCCGTCTGGTCCATGCACCTGCTGCAGGGGTGGCCACAAGCCACCAAAACTGGTTTATTGGGGAAAGTGTCGGTATGGGTTCTAGTCCTCAGTTTCCCCTCTCCAGCAGGAGGGGGCTGAATGGCAGACCTTTAAGTCTCTTCCATCTCTACCAATCTGTGGATGGAGAAGAGGCAAGCACTTGGGAGTGAGCACCCCCACTGACTGAATCACCAGCTCTGGCCCCATTCCAGAGAGTGCCGGCTGCCGGGGGCTGCGCACCCAAGCCTGGAAGAATTGCACCGATGGCTGTTTACAGGCAAGCCGTGAACACATGGTAGTACGAGGGAAGAAAATGTCCTTGTTGGCCCGGGTCACCAGGCATAGGTCACCTTCAGCACCAGCTTCTGGATCATAAATTAAACCTAGATCAAGCAAGAGTCCTGTATACCATACGCTGCCATGCTGCTAAGGTGTGTTTCCCCAGACCCCCCTCTTGAGACAAGGACCAGAAGATGCCAGCAGCACCCGGTGCAAAGACAGTCCAGACGACCCCGTCCACGCTCAAGGACACCGCACAATGTCACCACACTGTGCCCTGCTGGAGGCGGTTTCTTTGGAAACTGCCCTCACTGTCTCCTTTTCTTGTCACAAGGAAATAGACACGTGTTTCTATGCATCCATCTTGGGTGTGTCATATTCACCCGACACCCACCGAGAGAATGGACCCCGTGAGTTTGTTACAAAACCAGTATTTACAGGGATAAAGGAAACCGGCCTCCCATGTCATGCCCCGAGGGGCCGCATATCTACTCCAGCGGTGTTGCTGGGACTCCCAGAAGCTCTGGAAACTTCCCTTCCCCGATGGCCTTCCAGAAGGGCCTTGGTGCCCCGGGCACACAGCAGGGCATCCACCTCTGTTTCTGAACCACTTCTGTTCGCCACCTGGTCTCCTCATGCCATGCCTTGTGAGGAAGAGCGAAACTACTCTTCCAGAAGAGCAAAACTACCCTAAAGGGCGAGGTTCACTCAGCAGTCAGGATTTGCAGGGCGCATGCCGCAAGCTGAGTTGATTCCAAGAGTTTTCAGAAATGTTTGAGAAACTGTGGGAAGTTGGTTTGAACACACACACGGCTTCCCAGGGGGACCCCTTGCCTGGGTCGTTGCTCCTGGGGGTGTATACAATCAGTGTCCAGCTCACCGCCTCAGCACTGTCAGCTCCCTTAGCTCGGAATGATAAAATACTCAAGGAGGAAGAAGTCTGCACACTCACCTGGCGCCCCTCACTCTGCAGATGAGGAAGCTGCCATGGGGGGAAGGAGAGTGGTAATGACAGCCCCAAAGTAGACCAAAATGTCGGTAGTAGAAGGAGGATCTGAATCTCCCAACTCCCAACCAGAAGGCCCGGCCCAGCATCTGCTCCAGAGCCCCTGCCCTTGAAAAGTCAAGTAGGATCAAACAGCAGCCCTCCCTCCTGGTTGGCTTCAAGGACTTGTGAACTAATGCGTCAGAAGGTAATTGGGGGTAAGAGTAGATAAATAAAGGCAGAAAGTGCTGAGAGCAACAGAAAGCAGCCCCATTAACCCCGAATCCAGCCCCAAGAGTCAGCCGGCAGGAGGGGAGCTGCCACGTGACAGCGTGGCCAGGTCTCGCCCAAGAGCCTCAACCATGGCGGGGACCCCGAAGTGCACTGTGGGTACAGCAGCTGCTCCTCCAGCTGGCCCGGGGCTGCAGTGGGGGGGCTGTGAATGTGTACACACCCAGCACCCCGGGCAGGAACTCATGCCAGCCTGGAAGGGCCTTACTCGTTCTAGGGTTTCAAGAACAGGCAGGGAGGGCCCCCCCATTCCCCAGGCCCACGTGAGCACCCCCACCTCCACCCACCCACACTCACCGTCAGGGCACAGTAAAGGTCAAGACCACATCCACATCCACTCTTCGCAGACACCCCATTCCAGTACACTCAGAGGCCCCCACTCCAAAGGCCAGAGCCAGTCACACTCCACCTCCGGGCGACCCATAAATGCTTCGCCCACCTGCCCCAGCCTCCGCCAGGCCTTCCTCTGGGGAGCTGGGAGCCAGCGCTGTCTCCTCCCTCCCCCAGGCTCCCCCCTCCCTCCACCCCAGCACCAGCTGCTCCCAGGACCCCTCTCTACACAAGGCCCCTCTTCCGACCTGCCCTGTCAGGGCCCAGGGCTCTGAGGATCTGGAGTTTAAGAATCAGCATGAAATCTGGAGCTCGTGACCGGAGTGTGAGGAAAAGGGGAATAGAAGGAGGGCTCCATGCCGGCCGGGCTGGGCGTGGAGGGTCTGACTCTGCTGCCCCGCCAGGCGAGGAGAGAGCAAGAGCAGCTAGCAGTTAGCCGCAGGCCTTCCTGTGCCTGGCCGCACCTCACAAGATGCTCGGCCCCTGGAGCCCTCTCGCCTTACCACTGAGGAGATGAGACGGCCTGGGAGTCTGCAGCCCCAGACGTGGAGGGGAAGAATCCTGGTTTCACTGGAATTTCCTGGTGGAATGGGGTACGGGTGGACAAGTCACTGATTTAAAGGACACTTCGAACCCTGCTCTGTGTGTGTGTGTGTGTGTGTGTGTGTGTGTGTGTGTGTGTGTGCGTGTGTGTTCAGGAGGTGGGGTGAGTGGAGAGGAAGCCAGAGCAAGTGAATGGATCCCCGCGTCCCCACCCCACCCTTGTCCGCTGGGTTTTAGTGCTGTCCTACCTCCCGCCCCACCTCAATTTGGGGGGAGGAAGCGATTCCAGGGGGAGAGGGGAACGAGAGCCCAAGCCGCATTTTTCCAGGCTGGCCCTGCGACTTCAAGGGGATGGCAAAGGGACCCTGCGTGTGTCATCTGGGAATCCGGGCGACAGCAAAACAGGGGCCAGTTAACATGCAAATAGAGGGGTGGCTGCCCGGAGCCTTTAGAATCCAACCAGTACCCCAATAACCCCAGCATCACCCTGAGAAAACTGAGCTGGGCCTGCCTGGCACCTGTAATAAGGTAATATGGAGGAGGCCAGGAGAGCAAGAGAGGTTATCTGGGGACGGGGCAATGCGAAATCCGGGCCAGAGAAAGGCTGCCTGGAAGAGGAGGCAACTTCTTGAAGGAATGATCATAGGGTTCCCAGAGAAACAGACTTGAGGAAATTACCAGGTTCAGGAAACAGATCTCCCCCCACAACTCCCTGTCCCTTCTCCTCCTACCCCCATAATTTAGGGGGACCAGTCATTGCCCTCCCACAAAGACGCATACAGCCCTGCCCCCTCAGTACCCGCCACCTCTCCTCCCTCCACCCAGGGGCCCCGCCCCAGACATAGTGCCCTCCAGCGCCCACGAATACGCTGCCTGCTGGCTCCCCAGCATCCACTGACCTCTTGGTCCTACACCAAACCCGTAGGTCCTTCGCGTGGTCTCACCTCCATCCTTCAGTTACAGCAGATGGTTTTCCGCATCCTGCCAGCAGCCGACTCAGACACCAACCCCAGGGGGACGCCAGGTCACCCCCCAAGGCAGTGTCCCCTCTCCACGCCCTGACATTGTTCCCTCGCAGGCCTCCTGGCCCCCCTAGTTAGCAAGCGGAAAGAGACGCCCTTTCCACAAGTGTCACCGGCTCCCGCCCCCTGACTCCTGCTGCGGACCCCTCTGGTGCCCGCGCCCCGCGCCCTCCCCTGTTCCCATCCGCCTTCCCGGGAGGGGCTCCGGCCCCTGCGGACCCTCCGAGGTCTTCCTCTCCCCCGCCCTGCAGCACGGGCGCCCCGGTTCCAACCCTCCCCCCGAAGTGCGCGCTCGGCTCGGTCTCGTCCTGCGCGGGACAGTCCCGCTCCGCGCGGACCCGAGTCCCCCCTGCTGCGCCCGCGCCCGTCCCCGCCCGGATCGCCAACTTGCGTCTCCCCTCTGCTCTCTCGCTGCACCCCTCCACCTTCGGGCCCCTCAAACCTGCGCCCGCGCGGGGCCCGGCCCCGCACCCACCCCCGCCCCGCCCCGCCCCGCCCGAGGCCGCCCGGCCCCAGCCCCGACCGCCGGCGGGACGCGCGGCCACGCCCGGGGCGCCCGCGGGTGGGGCGCTGCCCGGCGCCGCGGCGCGGCCACGACGGGGTTAAGGTTCCGCGCGGGGGGGGGCGGGAGGGGCGCGCGGGGAGCCAATCGGCGGCCGCAGAGTCCCGGGGCCGCGGGCGGGAGCCGGAGCCGCCGCCGGAGCGAGCCGCGCGCGCGGGCTGGGGCCGGGGCCGGGGCCGGAGCGCATCGCGAGGGCAGCGCCCGCCCCAGCCCGAGGCCGCGCGCCCAGCATGGAGCCCGACGGCAGCCCGCGCAAGATCCAGTTCACGGTCCCGCTGCTGGAGCCGCACCTGGACCCCGAGGCGGCCGAGCAGGTGCGCGGCGGGGCGGGGCGGGGCGGCGGGGCGCGCCCGGCGGAGAAGCGGGAGCCGGGCCGGGGACCCGCGATCCCCGCCCGGCCCCGGTCCTGCCTCGCCGCGCGCCCCGGGGAGGGCGGTCGCGCCCAGTTTGGGGGTCCTCTGTCCCCTCCCCCACCGTCGGGGCCGCAGCCCCTCGGTGCCTCGAGGCGGACGGAAGACCCAGCACCTTCGCTCCCGGCCGGGCCCCGCGGAGCCGCCGCCCGCGCCCGGGCCTGGGGAGGGGGTGTCTGAGGACACGACCCTCCCCGCTCCGCAGTCTCGCTCCCCCGCCCGATGCCGACGCCGAGCTCCTTGGGGGCGCTGAAGGGTACTGGCAGCCGCGTGGGAGGGTGTGAGGAAGGGTAGGGAACGCGGGGAGCGCGGGGTGCAGGAGTTCAGAGAAGAGGAACCCCCTTCCCGGGCCTCTCCCAGCTGGGGGCCGCCTCGCTGGGACGCACAAGTGATAACCAGAAGGGCTGAGGGACCCTAGAGGGGTGGGGGGCCTGAGAACAGGGGCGCCCTTCTGCAAGCCTGGACACGTGGCTCCCTAAACCAACTCTGCCCTTGGAGTGGGGAGTGGAAGGGGGTGTCCAGGCGGCCGGGGCTTGCCGGAGGGGGGCTCCGAGCTGAGCTACACGCTCAGGAGTCGCGCTGTGCTGGCCTTGGCTCAAGGGTGGGAGTCCAGGGCCCGGCCCAGCCTCCTGCATGGCCTATTTTTAGCTCAGAGCAGCCTGGCAGAGGCAGCAGCGAGTGAGCAAGTGTGCGTCTCGGTGAGGGTGAGCATGTGTGTGGAGACCGTGACCACCCGTGGCCGGTACTACCGCCCATTTACCAAATATTTGCTCATTGCTCCATCTCTTTTTGCACGCTCTCTCCACTTGCCTGACATCCTCCTTCCTAAAGAACATCCATCTCCCTCAAGGTCAGGTTTCTGGTTACCGCGCCCCTCCACCAGCTGCTGGGGCTCTGCCCGGGTCTCCCCACCCGAGAACCTTTTGTCGCCTCCTGGGATGGGCTGGAACAAGTCCTTTCTGTGGCTGCAGCCGTTGGGTGGAGTAAGGTCCGCTGGGGAAGGCAGAGGAGGTTCACTCTCTCCCAACTCAAGCTTCTCGGAGTGTGGGAGGAGTCAGGTCCCTGCACCTCCATCCTCTCCCTGGCCTCGCCTCGGGGGACCCCCACCTCTACCTCATCCCCTGACCCTGGGCAGGATGGAGAGAGACCTGAACTTCCTGAGCATGAGGGAGGTGGAGAACCGCTGGCTCGGGGAGCAGCGCCTTGGGGTCTGGACAGCTGTTACCCTGGCTAAAGTGACCTCACACTCAGCAAAAAGGTCCCTCGGAAGTGGGCCGTGGGGTGAGGCGTGAAGCTCCAGGCACAACTGCCCTGCACCGGCACAGACAGGACTCGCTGTCTGACACCTGCTTCTGTTTGGCGTTGGAGGGGCAGGTGTGGGTGTGTGTTAGGAGGAGCAGGGAGAGGATCAGCTGGTGCAGGGATCTGGGGGGCAGGAGAAAGGAGGGGGCAGTGCTGAGGGGGAGGAGCCAGCGCTTAGTCTTCAAAGCTGCCTGCTAGGCTGAAGTTCTACCTGCTGGCCAGCCTCAGCCCCTCTCCAGTATGCGCCCAAGGGCACAGGCAGAAAGCTCCAGATGTGGTGGCCCTCCTGACCCAAGCTGACCTTAGAGGGCAGTGTAGCAGGGGAGAAAGGGTGCCCACCACCACCAGCTCCTCGTCATGACTGGTCTGGGCATAAATCAGAGGTGCGGGCCCGGGTGTCCTTGAGCCAGGATTTGGAAAGAGCACAAGAGAGACCATCTACTAGCCTCCGTGTTCCGCTGACCGGGAAGCGTTGGGAAGTTTGCATCACTCCTCCTGCTGTGGGGCTGCATGGCGCCCCAGGACTCTGCTTGCTGAGAAATCTTGACCAGGGCAAGGAAACCAGCTGAGGCAGGGACCCTCCAGGAGCCCACGGCCCCTCTGAGACCCTTCCTGTCTGTCACACTGCAGTCTACCTGTCAGGCTTCCCCCCCAATCTCTTCCACTCTTCACAGCCAGCCTCCCTGAGGTGGGAAGGAAATAGAAGAGTCCTCTCCCAGGGAGAGGTTGGCCCACACCCCTCATGTGCAGAGCACTCAGCCCACCTGCAGGTGCCCGGCACACTTGTACTGGCAGTAGTGCAACAGATTCACAGTTAACCTTTGTGTATGCAAGTGTGTGTGTGTGTGCACGCGCACACACAGACGGAACTGGTACTGCCAGGGACCTTGAAATGTCACCAAAATCAGGTGTCCATAGATTTTTCTGAGAAAGCAACACCCTCCCCAGACTACCCCTTTTCTACACGCCCAGTTTCTTCCTCAGGGGTGCCAGTCTCCCTGGCACACTGCACTGTCCCTCTTACTATAGCTGGCACCCACTTTCTGCACATAGAGAAAGGCATGTCTTACCACCCACACCCCCATAATGCCACGAAATACTGGGCACACCATGTAAAGATGGGGATTTGACCAGAGTGTTCTCAGCCTAGTTGCCTCAGCTGCAGCATCTCAGCCCCTTCCCAGCCCATCCGTCTCCTCTCCCCACTGCTGTCCTGGAGGAAGCTGCATGAACCCCAACCCCACACTCCCCTGGCTTCCAAGCCTCGCAAGACTCATGTCCCAAGAGTCCTTGAACTGACTTCAACAGTAATCAGCTTTATTGACAGCATGACACAAGCACAGTAACAGGGAAGGGGCTTCGAGTGTCTTCTATGTTAACGTCCTAGAATGGGACCCAGAGTCCAGGATAAGATTTTGCAGCTAAGCTTTAGACCCTGACCTGGGTCCTGCCAAGGGCTCCTCCTGGCACTATAGTCACCATGGCAAGGTCAGTCTGTTTCCCAGCAAATCAGAAAGCCAGTGTGTCCAGGGATGGGGTGGACATGAGGGAGTAAGGGCATCCACACCCCCTCCCGGGCTGAGCGGCCATGGAGGGGCGCGCCCTGCAGGCGCTGGCCCACGGGAGGTTGATGTCCACTTGAGGGGTGTGCTGGGAGGCTGAGAAGGAAGACTTGTGCCCGCCCGGGTTATTTCTGACCATTGATCCAGGATGGACGGAAGGCCAGCAGGCCAGGATCGATGCATTCGAGTAGATATCGCTCCTGAGAGACGGAGTGGGGAGGAGGGGAGAGGCAGGGGTGAGGGCGGGGGGCAGGGGTGATCCCCTGAGGACAGGGGCAAGTCCAGGGGAAAGGGATGGTCCCAGGAATGCCCACCCCAGGACAAGTGTGACGTGGCATTTTTGAGGGGTGCTGAGTGGGCTGGCCCAGAGGACTTAGCTGAGTGGTGTTAGTCGGGCTTTGATGCTCGGTGTGAACGTGAACTCTTCCCTCAGATTCGGAGGCGTCGCCCCACCCCAGCCACCCTCGTGCTGACCAGTGACCAGTCGTCCCCAGGTAACCCCAGGGATGGGTCGCTGAAGGGAGTGGGCACTACTGGATCCCTGTGCGAGGAGGTGGGTGTCTGGGTTGTCAAGCATCTCCTCAGCCTCAGAGGCAGGGAAGTGGTGTCTGGGTTGGCAGGAGGATTTCCTTTGCTTTGGGAAAACAGAGCTCGGTGCCAGGAAGGGGAGGGAGACCACCTGGTTCCTAAGCCCCCTGGAATTGGGGTGGTCAACTGAGTGCTGGTTGCTGTGGCAACAGCCTTCCAGGTTTCTCCAGCAACTGAGTTGCTGCTGCCCCCACCCCCAGAGGCAGTGACAGCTGTGAGGGGGAGGGACCGCCTCCATCGCCATCTTCAAGGCCCTCTGAGAGGAGAGGGGAAGCGGATGGTTAGAACCGGCTCGGGGAGCGCCTGAGGTTTTGGTCACCAGCGTCCCACTGAGACCATGGCCCCGTAGGATGTCAGGGGCTGCACAGAGCATGGCCAGGAGGACACGTGCTGACAAGCCACCCTGGCATCCAGACACCTGAGTCTCCAGCTTCCCGCAACTGCCAAAAGAAAAAAATGATTGTACCTCCCGGGCCCCACCCAGGAGGAATTTGCCCTCTTTCCCCGGGATTCCCGCGTGGGCACAGTTCAGACTCCGCGGGGGCAGGGGAGGGGGTGGAAGGGAAAATGATACAGATGCCTCCGAGGGAGGAAAGGCAAAAGGCCACACACATCCTGCCGGCAGAAACCTCCCGTCCAGGCGCCGTGGTGGACGCGGCTGGACCTCAGCGGAGGGCAGGGGAACTGGCCACCCGGCAGGGGGAGCTGCAGGGGTGGGACGGGGCAGCCGCAGGGCCGGCTGGCCGGTGGCAGAGGTGACTGGTCAGGAAGGAGGCGCTGGCAGAGGCTCCTCCCGTGGCAAGTTGGCTCTTGGGAACCACCTGGATTTCCATCCTCACCGCTTTCTCCTCTCCCCGTTCCCTCAGAGATAGATGAAGACAGGCTCCCCAACCCGCTTCTCAAGGTGAGCTCGCCCCTCTGGGCCCAGCCCAGTGAACCCACAGATTCAGCGGGCAGTTCTTCTCAGAGCCCCCCGTAGCACCTGTTCACCCCTTCCCTGCACCCCCCAAAATGTCCACGAGTAGGCATGCACACACGTTCCCTCCCGCAGTCTCCCAGCTCACGCGAGGGGGTGGGGGGAAGCGGCCCTGGGGAAGCAGGGATCCCTTCCCCACCTTCGGAGCCCGCACCCACCCCCCAGTCTCCAAGTCAACAGCCTGACAGGGAGGGAGGGAGCGGCTGGCACCACCTACGCTCTGTCCTCCACAGTCCACTTTGGCCATGTCTCCACGGCAGCGGAAGAAGGTGACGAGGACCACACCCACGATGAAAGGTTCGGGAGACCCAGCCCTTTCCTCCTCTCATGCTGAAGCCGAGCAGGAGCCCCCAGGACCCCCTTAGAAGGACTCCTTGAGAAGTCATGACGTCCGGCCTCGAGCGCCGTGGAGCCGTTGCTAGGAGGACCAGGGCTGGACTCAGGCTTTGCCACCCAGTAGCCGGGTGGCCTTGGAACCCTCCCGAGCCCTGAGTGCAGCCTCCCTGTGGCAGTTAAATACAATGACCTGTGCGCGCAGCCTGGATAGCTGGCACCTGCGCAGGGAGGCGCCCAAACACCTCTCGGCTAGAAACTGAGTCCCTGGTCTCCTGCCCCCAGGGAGACTGTATCTCGGCAACATAGGAGGATCTTTCATTCTTAAAGGCCCTTCCTTCCCTGCCCCGACCCCACCTGGGAAGCAAGTTCATTTTATTGTTTAGCTTGAATCCCTCCTTCTTACCTAGCTAGTGTCTCCCCTCACCCCCAAGATTTTGGTAAGGGAAGTGTCAAACCGCGCTGGCGGTGAGGGTGTCGGATTGGAGGGTCCACAGAGGGGTCTCTGGGCAGTCGTGTCCAATGTGCCCCCCCTTTCTCTGTGCCCCCAGAGCTCCAGATGATGGTTGAACATCACCTGGGGCAGCAGCAGCAGGGAGAGGAACCTGAGGGAGCCGCTGAGAGCGCAGGGGCCCAGGAGTCCTGCCCACCTGGGATCCTGGGAGCCGAGTCAAGGCTGGGCACACCTGGGAGAGCACAAAGTAGGTTCAGCCCCCGAGGCTCGCCTTTCCCGAGGTGGGGAGGGATCTAGTGCAGCAGAATCTCTCTTGAGAATGTGGATGTGTTTCCGTGGATTGCATGGATTTGCATCTCTTCGTTCTCCTTGCTCAAGGGCACGACCCCTCCCAACTTGGACTGATGAGCTCCCCGCAGTGGCTGCCTGGGGGAGTCCACCAGGACAGGAACAGCACTCACACCTAGAATTCCAGCTCTGCCCCTTGGCCAGCCCAGAGGCCTTGCGCCACTCTCATAACCCCAGGCTATAAAATGATTCTGATGGGGCCAATTTCCCTAGGTTGTTTGTGAAAATGAAACAAGATGGTTCTCAGCCCAGCAGCTGACACCTGGAAAACATGCACTAATGGAAGCTGCTGCTGGGGTGGTGTTCACACATGTGTGCAGCCCCTGATTCCAGATAAATTCCAGAATTGAGAATTTTTCCCGTTGGATGAAGGTGACGCGGTGTGTGTACTGTATGCTGCATAACCACCCGCAGGGCGCCCTGTCGTCGTCGAACACATTCAATGAAATGAATAGCCCCACTAAGTGGGATAGAGAAAGGCTATAAATAGCCTCAGACAGACCCATTAAGGTCAGGTTTAGCCACATACTGAGTTTGTACGCAAATCTGGTTAACTCTTTCTGGATGACTCTTTATTGATGACAAATTCAAGGAAAAATAATGGCGATGACCCTGTAGTAGTCATCAGAGAAAAATCAGACAGCAGTGACCAGAGAAACCCTGTGGGTCTTGTCCAGTTGCTCCCACCTTGGCCGTGGTCACTTCTCAGGCGTCCCGGATTATTATAGGATGGGCTGAGCCAACGCCAACGCCTCTCTCCAAGCCCCTCATGAATACCACTTGTCGCTCCCACCCCCCCTCTCCCTCCTTAGAGCCCGCAGAACCCATTCCTAAAACTCAGGAGAGGGGCGGTGAGGGGCCCAGCACAGAGGAACCCTCAACTCACATACCACCGCTGGAGTCCCAGGGAGCTAACTCGGTAAGCCCCCAGGGCGAGCAGGGGGTGTAGGCAGGGCAGGGCTAAGATTGGGGTCAGGGAAGCGGGAACAAAGGACCAGCTTCAGTCGCCATGTTGAGAGGACTCGCATCCCCTCTGATGGGCAAAGGAAGAGAAATGAGATTAAGCTGCAGCAGGAGGGATTGAGGCTAGACTGTTAGGACCTCAGGCTCCTGGAACAGGTGATGGAAATAGATCCTGGATTTTCTGATCAAGGGTGTTTGGAACCCAAAGGAAGATGCTCACCTGTGCAGACCAGGTGAGCAGAGCCCTGCAGGAAGGGGGCCTTCATGAAATAAGCTTTGTGAGCTTTGACTTTAGAGTCAGTCCTTCCCCGCCGCAGACTGGACAAGGGGGCAGGGACTGGTGCCAGACCCCAGAAGTTAGACCAACGTCGTGACCTCCGGCCTCACACTGCCCTCTCTCTCTGCCCCTCCCGCCGTGACAGGTCTGAGAGTGAAGGCGCTGTCCGGAGCCACGGCTGCGGTCGGGGATGCACGGACACTGGATTCCTTTCTTACTTCTTCACTTTTGGGGAAAAATATCATTTTTAAAAAGTGATAAATTTGGTGTTAGATCCTTGGCATTTTCCTTTTTTGCAACTTGAAGGAGTCGCCTCCCTCCTGTCCTGCCCCCCGCAGCCCGCGCCCTTTGCCAGCTGCTGGGGAGAGGAGGTAGGGCAGCCGGGCTGGAGCCTTCTGGAGGGGGGGCATCTTCCCGGGGCCCAGCCCTTACTCGCTGCAGGACGGGGGTCACACAGGTGGGAGGAGTGAGGTCCAGGGTACCTGGAAGGAAGGCCCCAGCGCCTCTTCTGCAGGAGGGGATAACCCCCCGGGGCTGCCCGCCCCAGCAGGGAGAGCGGAGCCCTAAGCCTGTGCGTCCCACTGAGGCTGTGCTGTAGCACCATCTGCTGGAAAAAGGGGGAACTGCACCCTGGCCCTGGCCCGCGGGAAAGCGGGGTGCCTGCGAACCCTGGCTTTTTGTCACCTAAGGGGCCCTTGCTCTCTCCCCGCTGGTCCTAGACACTGCGGGCCCAGGCGCAGGGAGCTCCTCGGAGCCCAGAGCCGGGCCTCTTCTGCCCACTGCTTTTGGTTTTTCTAAAGAGCAGAGGGGAGCGGGGTGGAGGGGCAAGACTCGTGTCCCCCCCTTCCTCGCTGGAGAAGGGTGTGATGGAGGAAGGGGACCTGACACGAAAGGCCACCGCACTCCTGCCCTCCACGCCCTGCACCCGCGGCCGGGCCTCGTACCCAGGCCTCCGCGGCCCGCCACGCACACCACAGGGAGAACACGGCCGGGATCTCATGGGCCCCCGAGGCGGTGGCGGTGAGGACGCGGGGTGCTTCCACCCGGTGAACACCAGAGACGCCAGGCCTGGTCTCCCTTCTTTATTGATCTCCGGCTATAGCAGGTTCTGAGAGACCCAGGGCAAGGAGGTGTCACATGCATCTCTGCCCCAGTCGGGGGCGGGAGGGACAAGTGGCGGGGTGGCGGGTCTAAGAGACATGGAAATGGACTTCACACAAACAGGTCCACGGTACAAATGCAGGTTGGTATTTACAAGGAAGGAGGAGGGCAGTCGCCCGGACCTTGGCCTTTCCCGGGGCAGGGCGGGGTGAGCGCAGCCTGCGGAAGGAGGGGGCAGGAGCCCGGCCGCCGGGCTTTCTTCCAAGGACCTGAGGGCAGCAGCCCTGAGCCCCTTCCCATCTGCCGTGCACCCACCACCCCCACCAGTCCCAAGGGAGGGCCCCTGGGTGGCTGCAGCTGGGCGGTGCTGAGAGGGAGGGCGGCGAGGGGCCCTCTCCCAAGCAGCAATGCAGGATTCTGGCCTCACACCTCACCCTCCCACTCACCCTTGACCCCAGCCCAGCTGGTCTCTACTGCTCACAAGATGCACCCCGCGGGGCTTCGCTGGGGAGGTCTGGAAGCACTTTACAGACATTGGTCGGATGGGAGGCTCTCAGCCCTGGGGAGCAGAAGGGGCGGGGGCAGGGGTGGGGGGCTGGGGAGGCAGCCAGGGCAGGTGACATCCCAGGACCAATCCAGGTTCCTGAGAACCCTGGGAAAGACCCCCCCTCAGCCCTGGCCTGTGGCTCCCCTCCTCCTGCAGGGCCATTTCAGAACGGGAGGGAGGGAAGGTTGCGGGGGTTGGGCTGTGGATGGTGCTAAAGCAGTGCAGGTCGGGGTGAAGAGGGTGCGCCCCCCCATTCCCAGGCCCTCGCCAGGTCCCGTGCCCTCAAGGCGCCCACTCTCCTCCCCAAACATAGGACTCTGAAAACCCCCACTCTCTATCCCACTCCGGCCCCTCCCAGTGGAGGAAAAGGAGAACCCAGACCTGCCAGCTAAGATCTGGGGTGGGGGCTGAGGGAACCCCCAAAACGTATTGCTTAGAAACTTGGAGGCAAAAAGGATGGGGAGGGCCCGGGGGCTGGCATCTCTGACCCTCCCCCCAGGCCCTGGGGAGCCCCTGGGAAGCGCCCCACCCCCAGCCAGCCATCTGGCCATGGGGGGGTCCAGAGGCGGGGGGACGGGCACAGTGACCACTGGGAGTCCAAAGTTCCCCAGTCTTGCTGCCAGGAGAGTAAAGTGCGCCCCAATGGGTATCGGGTGGGGAAGGGCCCCCCCACCCCCACAATCTGGCATTTGGCCTGCGGGTGGGTTGTCTGTTCCACGACCTCCGCGCTCCCTTGGAGCAGATGGGGGAGCCAGTCCCGATGGATGGTGCTGATGACATCGGACACGTTAGACTCACGAGGACCTGGGGGGACAGAGACGCCTCAGCACGCTGGTCTTGGCCTGTGGCTGCAGCTGGCCTTCCCCAAGTCCAGGCCGATGCCCACTCGGGCCCCGCCAGGATGCAGGTGGTGCAGAAGGCGCCCGCGCAGGGCGTGCCAGGCCTGCGGCCGAAATCGTGCCCAACTGACCCCGCCTAGCCTCACGCCCGCCCCCACCGGGCTCCTGCCCTCAGGCCTCGCAAAGGCCCTAGAGTGACTGAAGCCTTGCCAGCCCCCCCCACCCCGCCCCTGTCCTGAGGGGCGCTTCCTTCCCGCCAGGACTGACACAGAGGAGGAAGGATTTCCCTGCTTCCCTCTCAGGCCTGTGTCCTGCCCTCCACTTCCCTGCCTGGAAAGAGGGAAGGGGACGCTGTGTCCGCCGACTCTCAGAGATGAGGCTTCACCAGTGCCACGGGACACCCAGGGCCCCCAACCGCCTATAAAGCCCGGCACCCCCAACACGGCGCACCTGGGCCCGCCCGGCTAGTCCAGGTTCCCGTTCTGGTTGTGCTCGTCGTCGGCGGGCGAGGGCGGGGCCTCTTCCTCACAGGGGGACAGCTCGTCGATGGACATCTGGTTGGTGATGCCTGCGGGGCGGCGGGAAGCTGGGTCAGGCCAAGAGCCCTTGCCACAAGACCCAAGAGGTATGTGGGCAAAAGTAAGGGACTCACAGCCGACCCCCTGCCTGCCAGCCTGCCCATGCCCGCGGGCAGCCTCCCCGGCCGGGCCCAGACGCACCATCCTCCGCTCTCACATAGAGGGGAAGATCTCTCAGCCAGGACCACCCAGCACCCAGACCTACAGGGGTGCCGTTGACAGGCCACGTGTGCACAGGGGCCCTCTGGCTGTGGGATATGGCTGTCCCTGCCTCTCTAGGCCCCTTCTAGAACAGTGCAGGCTAATCAGCTGGTCAGTGTTTCCTGTGATCAAACTCAGCATCTGCCCTGACTGAGTTGTCCAACAGAGTGGCTCCAGGGCGTGAAGGAAAAGGGACCCGCCGCTGCTCCACCACCGCCTTCCCCCAAGGCCTCTCCCCCACTCCACCCCCGAAGGGCACGCACCACTTGCTGCTCGTTCCTTCCATTTCTGCTTGTTCTCCTGAATGTACTTGATCCAGGTAGAGCGGAACCTGACCACGTCAGGATTGGGGTCTCCTACTTCCACATCCAAGGAAGGCTGGCGCCACTGGAAGCTAGATGCAGGACACCCCCCCAGTTCCAGAAGTGAGACCCCATCCCCCCATCCACTCCAGAACCACCTTCCCGGCCCTCAGAGCGGAGGGGACGGAAGAGCAGGAGGGGGCTGGTGGAGAGTCGTCTTTCTCTTGTCCCTCCGCTAGGGACACCCCAGGTTCCTACCCCTGACCCCTCGACGTCACCCCACGACGCCACCCACCCCTCTGAGTGGAAGGAAAGTACCAACAAGATTAGCAGAAAGGCGCTAGGCAGCTACAGAAGACACAAAATTCTGGTGACAAGGACACAAGACGCAGACCTCACCCTTCTAGTCCCATCTTTGCACCCCAGTGTGTGTGACACGCAGCCAGGGAGCTCCCCACCTGCAGTGTCCTGAGCCCCACCCCCGCCATGGCTGCGCCCCTCCCTGTGAGTTGGCCTCTGTACTTCCAGCTTCCCTCCCCGGAGCAGGAGGCCCGGCCCGCGGCCCCTCACCTGGGCTGACTTTTAGACTTGCCGTCATCGTCTGCCAGGGGCTGGACACTCTTCTCGGCCACATCGGTCAGCACAGAGAAGGTGGGCTCCACGATGAAGTCGATGAAACCTGCAGTGGAGGGGGTGGCGCAAGGGAGAAATGTCCCCCTGAGGGTCGGCCAGAGGCTGTGAAGCCGCATGCCTGTGCCCCCCGCCACGTGCCAACAAGGTGGCGGGGTGACCTGGGGCTGAGCACTTCCCCAGGGGTCTGGCTTGGGGATGCTGTCTCTGTCTGTGACCCCGGAGAACTCCTCCCACTGCACCCCCCTGCCTCCCACTCAGGACCCCAGCCTAGCACAGCAGGTTTGCCCCTGCAGGAGGAACGGTTGAGAGGGGTGGGGACCTGGGCCTTGGGGGTCCAGCCGGGCCAGCGTCCGCCCCTGCAGGACAGGGCACTCACCGATCTGGGACTGCGCGACCAGCGTGGAAGTGCGGTCACAGAGCGGAGAGAAGGGCAGGCCCAGCTCTGCTTCCTTGTCGCCCTGGGGAGAAGACAGGCGGGGAAGGCTGGAGAGGAGACCCCAGACACACCAGATCCAGGGTGCAGCTTGGGGGCGGGGGAGGGAGGAGGCTGTGGTTGTGGGAGGAGAGGGGATTTCTGTGCCTTTGACCTGAAAATGAGCGACGTGCAATGGAATGAAACTGCCGGCAGCTGTGAAGCGTTGCGGGTTAGCGATGTTGGATCAGGTTTGGGGTCAGGTGAGCTATCGGGGAGCAGAGGAGGATCTGGAGTAGGAGTGGGGAATGTGGGGAGCATGGGGAGCACGGGCCCCGGGAGCAGCAGGTGCACAGGGAGGCCAGGTCACCTGGCGGAAGAACTCCTCCATCAGGGCCTTGGTCCAGCGGCTGTGGACCGACCACTGCTTGGTGGGGTGGCTGATGTCCGCGGCGTGGAGCAGCAGAGACAGAGCCTTGGGCTTGTCGATCCTGGGCAGGGCAGGTAGCAAGGGAGACGGACCTTTTAGGAAAGGAAAACCTAGACCATTCCCTGCTTCCCATCACAGGCCTCCCTCTCAGATCCTTTCGGCGAGCACACACGCACGAGCACTGTACACACGCACGAGCACTGTACACACGCACGAGCACTGCGCACACGGCAAACACCCGAGCTCGTAGGCCAGAGAACCGGGTTCAGACCCCCACCGCGCCCATCCCACAGCTGCCGCATGGCATCGAGCAAATCATTGAAAATTTCCATATTTCATTTTCTTCAACCCTAGGTGGAAATAACAGCCTCCGCCAGAGAGTTGTTCTGAGAATCAAACGACATACATGGATTTAGAAGAGAGTCTGGCGCCTAAGTGCTCAGTGGATGTTACCTATAATTATGATTATTGTGATTATTGTAATGCTGATTCTTCCCCAACAGTGACACACTCTGCCACAGACACCACAGACACCACACCCCAGCACACACCTGCAGGACACACACATCTGCTTTTTCTTACACACGCTTCCACTCCCACCCATCTCTAAGCAGCAGATGTCACTGCAGCATTTATCTGCATCCTTTTTAACCTCACGACACTCCAACGACAGCCCTGACGAGGAGGGCTGCTGGTGAGGAGGGGCGCTGGAGACTGGGGGGGCAGGTCGCCTTCACCTCTCACAGCTAAGGAAGCCAGTTCGGAGGGTTGGGCGGCTCTCCTGGCATTCCCAAGCAAGCCGTTCAGGAGCAGCCGTGAAAACGCCTCCCTCAGATCGCAGCCCCGAGTGCCGTCCAGCAGCCCAGCTGCCCAGGCCGTGTGTGAGCCGGGACCTTGTGTGCACACACATCACACACACAGATGCATTCAGACGGGGCGCAGCGATCACCACGCGCACGCCTCGCTCCAGCCGGGCCCGGCCACCCCCACCAGGCACCACCTCTCCAGCTGCTGCAGGGCCGTCTTCATGGTCTTCACTTGCTGGAAGTGGCAGGACATGTCTGTGGCTAAGACCATCTCGATGACGAGGGCCCGCAGCTCTCTGAACGGACAGAAGCGGAGACGTGGTCAGCACCCACAGCACTGCTGGGAAGAGGCCCGTAGGCGGGAGGAGAAAGCGGGTGAGGGGTCACTAGGGATGCCCAGTGCTGGCTTCTGCTCACACAAACTCATCCTTGGTGAGGTTGATGAAGATGTTCATCTCGTCATCCTGCATAATTCGGAAAACAGAGCTGATGTGGTGATTCTCCAGCACTGAGCGATCGTTGTACAGGATGGCACACTCTGACCTGCAAAGCCGAAGGTCATCACGTCCGCTGCCCTGAAGTGGGGACTCTGCTCCATTTCCCACCTAGACGGGCCCCTCCCGCCCCAGCCACACCCCACCACTCACTTGGTCTGGATGTGGAAGCTGTTGGTTGTGCCTGTGTGCTCGTAGTCGTGGATGGCTGCAGCAAAGATGATGGCCAGGAGCTCGATCTCTGACAGGCAGTGCTGGGAGCAAGGCGCAGGAGAGAAAACGGCCCCCGCAGGTCATACCCAGAGGTCTTCGCCGCCAGCCCATCTCAGCCCACCTCCTCCATTCTCAAGGAGCCTCCTGGACCGATGCCGTCCGGGGTGCCAGCTCCCAGCTGGTACAGACCCTGCCCTGCCCCAACCCTGCTGCGCCCAACACACAGCCCACCGCCACCCGTGCAGTGAGGGCCCGCCCAGGGATGCCCTAGGAGTGAGTCCAGTGCGACCCTGTAAAGACTCTGAGATGCTAAAGGAAGGCGCCAAAGAGGGGACATGGAAAAGGGGGTACAGTCTAGAACCTCCAGTTAGCCGGCGAAGGACTCTGAATCACACACCCGTGTTCTCCGGGGCACCTACCACCATCCCCGTGCGGAGCAGGACGCAGTGGACCGTCTGGGTAACGTCGGCTGCGTGAATCTGGTTGTGGTAAGGGTTCTTGTACTTCCCATAGCCTGTCTCCAAGGCTTCCAGGAAAGCCATCAGAAACACAGTGGGAATCTGCAGGCGGAAGGAAATGGAGAGACGGAGGACCTGGGGGATGGCAGGCAGCCAAGGGCTGAGCTTAGCGAGGCCTGATTGCTTGGCCAGGCAGTGTGGCCTGGGAGAGGCAGCTGTGCAGTCAGGTGAAGGCGCACATCTGGGCTCCACCACCTGGCGGCCGTGTGACCTTGGCCAAGTCACGCGTCTTCTGTGCCTCAGACACTTAAGTGCAGAATGAAGATAATACCACCGACTTTGAATTTAATGAGATAAGTACAAGGCACTTAGTAAGTACTCTCTAAAGAGTAGCTATAATTATTATTATTTCCCTGGAGATTTTTAAGAAAAGGAAATAAAGCTTCCCTCCCACCTTCTAAGCACCATACCCCATCCTGAACCCAATATCATGGAGAGGGACTCCGAAGCAGCAGAAAGAATAAGCTGACCTAGAGTGGACCCTTCCAGGCAGATGTGAAATGCCCCCTCCTCTGAGAAGCCTTCCTAGACCTCCTCCCCCAGCCCTGCCACACAAACACACACACACTCTAGGAACTAAAGTTCTGTCCAGCTCCTCTCAATGCTCTTTCTCTGCATGTAGCCTTAGGGTGTCTGCCTCCCTCCTTCAAAGGCCCAAGGCTCCCACGTGGCAGGCTGGTGTGTACAGCTGTCCCCAGGTCTCCTGAGGCTGGGAGGAGACCAAGATCCAGGACTTGGGGAAGCTTCTGCAGAGATGAACAAGTGACGAGACACAGAAGACGCACCACCGTCAGTCAGACCCTAATGTCCCCCACCCCCACCCCGGAGGGCTGTGCCCCAAATTCAGGGAATTTTAAAGGACCGTTTCCATGACAACTGCCCTTGCTTTTCTGTTGCCATGGCGTCCCTGGAGGGAAGGGGAGAGGAGGGGAGGCGCAGGAGAGGGAATGGGTGCCCAGGAAGGGAACGTGGAGCTTGAGAAGGGCAGCTCCAACTGGCGCCTCCACCAGAGAGAACACTGAGGCAACAAAGCTGCCTCTCGCAGGGCCTGCGAGCAAGACAGGCTGGGGCTGGGGAAGCCCCACCTGATGCAGCTACTCCTGGGGCCTCCCACACTCAGTCCCTCCAACCAAGGACGCAGAGGTTAGGAGAGGCTGGGGCTGGAGTATGTCCGAGAACCACTTGGGAGCAATATGATCTGGAAAAGTCTTTGGAAAAAGAGGACCCTGCTATTCTCTGTCCTGGAGGGCGGGATTCATGGGAAGAAAATGAAACTGCAGGGAAGGCCCAGGAAAAAAATCCCAGCTGAGCAGATCAGCAAAGTTCTGGAAACTTTCTTGAGAGTTGTTGTAAAAGGAGGGGTCAAGGGTCAAGGCTCGTACACACCAACAGTCTGTTGTGATGATCTGGAGGCAGGCTGTGGGCGGGCAGTCTCCCAGCGCCCTCTGGGAAGGGCCCTTAAACCCTCAACATCCCCCCAGAACACACACGTTTTCCTCCACTTAACGTCGACCACCCAGCCCCCCCAAGTGCGGACCAGATCTCCCACCGCAATCCTCAACCCCGCTGTCCACTTCTAAGTGTGGATTTTCCACAAGGGAGTGTTTTTTTTCCTAGTCCTTATTCCCAAGACACTCCCTCTGGCACAGGATCTGGAGAGGACTTTAGCCCCATATTCTTCTTCCCGTCCAGCCAAGCTGAAGAGCAAACGGAGTTCACACACCCTCCCTCCCCTCGTTTGGCTCTACCAAGCAATGCCAAGAACTAATCTCGCCATAAAACTCCTGGACAGAGACAGGCTGTCCCCAGGAAACAGAGACTGCAGTCCCAAGGGTGCTGGCTGACAGCATCCGGACGCACGGACCCGGTCACCACAGCCAGGACAGCTGCCACGGGGGTGAGCCGAGAGGCAGCTCGAGAGGACAAGCCGGGAGCAGGCCAAGGGCAAAAGAAGAGAATCCCAGGCAGGAGGGGTGCAGACAGGAATCTCCCTGAGTGCAGTCACTGGGCCCGAGAGGGAGAGCAGCAGGCGGGAGAAGAGACAGCGGAGAGCCTGCGGGATCCACCTGGAGATGGTGCAGAACTGCCGTGAGAGCAAGAGCCCGGGCCGGAGGCCTGCGCGCGCTGGTGCCTGACCTTAAAGCGGCTGATGAGGTTATGCCGAGTCAGCAACTCAAAAACGATGGTCCTCAGGGCGTGCTCCTCCGATGCCCGGTTTAAGGAGAAGACATCAAAGCACCAGCGGTCCAGGTTCTGCAGAAAAACCAGAGAGTAGGCAGGCGCACTCCTGGGGGAGAGCCCCGCAGCAGCGAGGACTGCAGTTGGACTTCACGGCCGACTTCCCGGCGAGGGCAGAGATTTGGGAAGGAGGAAAACAAAGAGGTGATGAGGTGGGCCTCTTTCTGCCCAGATGTCGCTTAGTCGGGGAGAGACAGGAAGGCTGGAGTTTACCTTAGGGGTAAGTAAACGTTGTTTTGAGGAACATGGGCCCCAGAGGTAAAAAGGGAGGCAAAAGTCACCCCAATAACCAGTCTGAAACTCCCCGGAGCTCTTTCACCCCCCAAACGTCTCTTTCCCGAGAGCCGGGGATCACCTTGAGACAACTGAGGACTGCAGCGGAGTAGGTGGGGCCCACGGCGGTGAACGTTCTCCGGAACATCCTAAGACGGAGCAAGGAAAGGTGAAGGTCGGGGGAGCAGGGCCTTACCAGGTGGGGCTGTGGGATGAGCTCTGGGCAGGTCTGCCGGGGTCTAGAAGACCAGGGTGGCAGCTAGAGGCAGAGAGAGGCCGAGCGTGGGCGCGCCTCACCGTTCCACAAAGATGCCGGCCTGCACGGCGTGCACAATGCTCCGGAACTTGGGCTTCTCCTCCGCTCGCCGGCCTTTGGCCCGGGCCTGCTGGGTGAAGGTGGAGGCCAGCCAGTCCCGCACCTCCGAAGGCACAGCATCAGACCGCAGCTCCTGCAGCTCGTCCTCCGTGTCCAGGATTTGCCTGAGACCCCAGAGGGGAGTCGCAGAGGAAAGACAGCAGGTGCTTCCACAGCCTGAGCCCCTGGCCCAGCCGTGCCCCTCACCACAGCCCCTCTCATGCCAGCCTCATGCTTCTCTGACGTGCCCTCCCCTTCTCTCGCTGCGCCTTTTTGTTTCTGCCTCTCTCTCTCTAATGTCTCCCATAATGAAGCGGGTGGAGTAGAGGTGGGGCAGCGAGCACCCCAATTCTGGACATGCTCAAGCAGACACTGCCACAGCACCGGCCACGGAGGCTACAGACCAGCAGCGCGGCCCGGCAGAAAGAAAACGCAAGCCGCCTGTAAGGAATTTTAAATCTCCCAGTAGCCACATTAAAAAGGTAAAAAGAAGCAGGTGACGCGTGTTCTAATGATACGTTTTATTCGACCTACTACACCCAAGACAGTATCGCTTCAGTGTGGAATCAAATATAAAATATTTTACTTTTTTTCTAAGTCTTTGAAATCCAGCGTGTATGTCCCATTTCCACGGCTGTCTGCATTTGCACGTCCACATTTCCAGTGCGCACTAGCCACACGTGACCAGGCTGGGCCGCGAGGATCTCGAAGGACCCCTCACTGGAATAAGGCTCGGACTAGACGCGCTGTCGGGTCCCCTCTAGCTCTGAAACAGCGTCCCCTTCTCGGATCTGGGTTTGTCTCTATCTCGGCTGTTCTCGGCTGTTCCTCTGCCTCTTTCCCTGCCTGTATTTCTACCTACAGCTCTTTCTCTCTGCCCCTACCCCACCCCCCCGCCCGGGTCAGGGCGTCTGTGTGCCCTCCGGTGGGGCAGGTCTTGCCTCTCAGCCAGCTCCCCACGCTCACCGTGTCTCATCTATGTAGACAGCCTCCAGCAGGGAGGCCGTGTACTCCAGGTTTTTCTTCAGTTCCTCAATGCTCACCTCCCCATTCTCCAACTGCTTCACCATGTAGCGGAGCCTGGGGGGATGGGGGGGTACAGACATCCTTCTTAGGTGCTGCCTCGTCAGAACAGGATACCTCTCAGGGGGTGCACTCTACAGAACCCGCTTCAGCCTTCCATAAATCATTAATCACCCCAACAGCAATAATAACAGCAGGGCCTCCCTGGTGGCCTAGGGGTTAAGTCTCAGCGCTACCACCATGACGGCCCTCCACAGTGGTGCGAGTTCCGTCCCCCGCCAGGGAGCCATCCACATGGCACAGCAGACCTCTCCTGTCTCCCCGCTGCTCCCCTCAGCAGTGTGTTTCAGTCTGCCTGTTCTGCTCCCCGCTCTGTCTCTGGTGAATCCTCTCACCTCTGGCCTGTACCCCAGTTCTTCTATGTAAAAATAAATAAAACCTTTTAAAATAATAATAATAACAGCATTGCGTTAAGCTTATGTACCCCTAAAGTTTAAGCCCAGACTTATCCTGACTCTGCCATCCCCACCCATTCTGACTTCTCAACACCACCCCACACCCCCTTTAGTTAGTGTTTCCTGAAACTCTGTTTCAACTGCACTGGCAGAATTGGGCAGGTACAAGCCTCTAGGGAGATGTGTTGGGGATGATCTGTTTCATAATCTGAATAAGCAAGAGCTAAAACTGCTTATTTCCCCCATGAGAGAGGGTTCTGGGGGCCAACAGCAGTCAAAGGAGCCCCCCAAGATCCTTTCATTATGTCTCCAGATCATGCCGGGGCAGGGGGTACATGTCCACAGCCCCTCTGTCCCTGGCAGGGATGGCAAAGACACAGAACAAAGACCAAATTGAATGCTTTCGCCTGGCCTCACCCCATCCAGGCAGAGCTAATGGATTATGATTCCAGAATCCATCAACCAGGACAAAGCAGGATTAACCCCTGCCTCCCTGGTGCTGCAGCAAAGATAGGAAAAAGGGACTGTCCCGATCCCCAACCATGCCCCGCAGCAGCTCCCGGCCCAGGCACAGTGGCAGGGGTGGGATCAGGGAGAGATTTACTGGATGCTTTGCCTGAAGGGACAACCCCTCATATTTTGCACTCATGGATCCTGGGGATTTATGATTAACTGTAGGCTTCTGGGAAAGCTGGCAAGTCCAGCTCAGGCAATCACAAAACAAAGCTCTGTGACTTTAGGTGGTGATTTTAAAGCGTCGAAACATTCTTTTCGCTCCTCTCACCCCCCCGCCCCAAAACTAAGATGGGGTGAAATGGCGGCCATCACAAATCCCCACTGAGAGGGGCTTCAGAGAAAACCCAAGATCACCCTATGAGTCAGGCAGAAGAGAATGAGTCAGGGACCAGAGGCTGAAATTAGCAGCAATTCCCAGGGATGCTGGGGGAGGGAGAACAATGGCATTCCTGAACAGAAGCAGCTCTAGATTCCTGGGGTCTCTGCAGTTTCGGAATAGGAGTACCCAAAATAGCCAGTCGGTAAGTGTCACAGGCCAACTCTCACCTCAGCAGTCCTGGCTGAAGACACATCTGGATACAAGTGGGGCAGAAGAGGAGGGCCAGGCCCAGAGGGGCAGTGGGTTCTTTTCAAATCCCACTCCGGCCGTCCTGCCGCTCCCCCTCCATGTGGACGCGGCGGGTTGTTTAATCACACGGAGGCCAGGTTCAGTTCAGCTTCATTAGGGAGGAGGAACAGAGACTCGAGAACATGAAAGCCTTCCCCAGCCAAATGAGGTAGAAAGCAGGGCCTGAACCAGCAGCCCCCACAGTGCCCACTGAGAGGGGGCAGAACAAAAAGGTGAGGTACACTCTGCCTTTGGAGCCCAGGCCCCAGGCAGGGCTGCTCCCTCCAAGGCAGTCCAGGTGGCCGGGGGCCCTGGAATCGGAAGAAAAAGGCCTCTGGACCCATCTCTCTCCAGGATTCCCTTCCCGTCAGACCTTCTCACAACCCAAAACTCTGCCCCCCCACCCCCCAGTCAATGCCCACCACCGGAATTCTTCCAGTTTCTTCCAGACCCACCTCTGAAAAGGCACATCCCAGCTCAGGCTCCCAAAGTGAACAGCCACGCCCACGGGCGCTCATTTGCATGGATTCGCAGAATCGCTAACAATGCTGCCAGCTCCTCATTTGAAAAAGCGCTTGCTCCTACATTATCTCATTTTAACCTCACAATGGGCCTAGGGGGAGGTGAGAGGCGGGAGGAATTGCCGTCCCTATTTCCAAGAAGAAATCTAGGCCCCCTCGGACCCGGGTCTGGGAGGCAGGACTCCTGGGTCCAGACCTGTCACCTCCCGGCTCTGGGCTTTGGGCAAGTCACTGAAGCATAATCAGAATCTAGCTCCGCGCAGATGCCGCAGATCAGAATCACCTGGGGTACCACATCCTGGGCGTCTCTGCACACCTTTGGAACCAGAATTTTTGAGAGTATGGTTCAGGGATCTATATTTTTAACAAACAACCAGAGGATCCTCATGCACACTGAAGTTTGAGGAACTATTCTGGAGCCCAATTCCTTCATCTGTGAAATGGTAAGGATGATAACAAGCCTTCCCCCTCTCATGAAGGGCTGTTGGTGAGAGAGTTCAATAACGTATGCAAAAAGCCTGCACAAAAACGAGCCTCTGTAAATACGATTTAAACCTGAGCTGGTCCTGCCCAGCTCACACCTCATTCCCTTCAAACCCAACGAACACCTGCCTTCCCCATCCCAAATCCAAGTGGGAAGAGTCTAGTTTGGATGAAAGCTGGTCATTAGGAAGCCTCGTCGCAGAAGGATAGCAGGAAGGGGATGGCCACGATCTCTCCTTGACAACTACAAACCTCACTTGCACCTCACAACCACCTTATGAGGGAGGTTAAGTGATTTGTCCAAGATCACATCTTGTCAGTCTCAGTCAGACTGGAAAACCTACAACTCCCACTCCTAGAACCTCACCAAGCACCCCAACACCATCACAGCTCGTTCAGTGTCAGCCCATCGTTCCTGAAGTGCCCCAGAGAGAAAGCACCGACAGGGACCTGTTTATCTTGGCAGCTATGCTCAGCGTGCACAGTGCATGCTCGGGAAATGTTCCCTAAATAAATAAAAGGGGTAGCGGGGGCAGATAAATCAGGTATGGGGTGATCTGGTAGAGCTCACAAGTGACACCTGAGCCAGGATTTCTGAAACTCAAATGGAAAGACTGGGCAGAACAGCCAAAGAAGTTGTAGGCTGGCTTTCAACACACCCCTCCCCCTGAGTTCCTCCTGCCCCCACTTCTAGATGTGATCCAGAAGCTCTTTTCTAGCTCCTGTTGAAATCTGAATCCAACTTGATCCACACATCAGGAGGGGGCGGTGAAGATTAAAGAATAAATCTGACAAATGCGGAGTTCCAGAGGGGACCTGGACTTGGGCAGCTGGAATAATCCTGAACTTCACCCTCCTGGAGTTATGAAATGCTCCCCATGCCACCCTTTCTGGCCTGGGCTCTCCCAGACCCACCCAAAGGCCTCACTTCACCATTCTTCAGCAGGAAGTCCACATCAGTTTTAATGCGGCATCCCTGCTTCAGCGCTCAGAGGACCTGGCACGGGAACGGTCCCTTTGTCTGTACAACTGGATGCTCAGCCTGCATCCAGTCCTCATCCAGACCCAAGAAAAATCCCCACCTTCACGCCAGCCTGTTTCACCAACATCAGATTTTGCTCTTTTACCTTCAGTCCCTGCACCATGACAGAAGCCTGAGCTTCTGACCCCGGGAGGCCTCGTCTCTCCCTGCTCTAGGCAGCCAGCTAGATGAAAAGGCTCCTGGCCGGAAGACTCCCACATCACGGAAGAGTTCAGTACCCCCAAGCCCCAGCCGTTCATTTCTTGGATCACCACATGGCTGACCATCTGGCCATTTCCGAAGCCACTGCTTCCAGCTCCCACAACCCCAAAAAGATCACAGTGAGTAAGAGAGCTTAGGTCAGGGCACCTCAAGCCAAGGGGCTGGAAGTTGGAAGAGGAATCCTACTTCCCTCCCAGGGTTCTTAAGGCAAGAGATGCAATTTCAGGGCAACGTGAGGGCCTATGGACTGGGGGTCAGGAAGGAGCGACAGAGGAAAACGCCGCTAAGTCACCTGCCACAGTCATGAGGAAGAGACAAAAAGGAAAGCGATGGACATGGGAAGAGAATCAGGTGAAGGCAAGATGGACCAGGGAAGTGAAGAAGTTGGTGCCGGCACGCAGGTGCGCACACAATCCACAGGGCCTGTCCAGTCTGGATCCCGCCGGCCACACCACACCTGGCTGCCCGCAGCGTCTGTCCTCCGCCCATCTCGCCTCCTCCTCCCTGGTCCTACCTGACGATAGGGCCCTGCAGGTGGCTCCTCTGCACGGGAACAGGCTTTGCCATGGAAAGCACAGTTTCCTACTTCAGAGTATCAAAGTGCTGCCCCAGGGCCCCGGGGCCCTTGAGGGAAATGACTCCCTCTTGGGCCCCCGACTTCCTCCTCCAGCGTCTGCGTCCGCGCTGAGGACTGAGCAGCAGAACTTTCCCGAGGGGGGTGGGAGGGGCCTGGCGGGGGGCGTGATGGGGCTGACCCGGCCGAAGAGACTGGGTAAGAGGCCGCGGGAAGTTTCACCTCTGAATCAGCCTAAAAACAAGAATCTGTTCTCAGAAGAATCCCAGAAAGGACAGAAATAGCCGCGGCCAGCCCCTTGCTCCGCGGAGGAGGGGCTCCTGGAGGCCAGGGCAGAGGATGCGCGCGGACCCGCGTCCCCTGACAGCGTCCCCTGACCGTCTGGGCGGGCGGGAGGGACCCCGGGCGGGAGAAGCGGCCCTGCAGGAGCCCAGGGGGCTGAGGCGTTTTCAGTTCCCTGCTAGGGCGTCTCAGGGCCCTTCTCCAAAATGAGCGGGGCCTGTCCTGAGAGAATGGAGGCAGGACAGAAAGAGAACTGGAAGCTGTTAGGGAGGTGCTTGCTGCAGCGAGGGCTCAGGGGCCCCCACCTGCTGACCAGCCCCCGGGGAGGGAACCGCTCCCCAACCCCAAGCCGTGAAGGAGGCCGAGCCCTGGCCGAGCCCTGGCCATGGAGCCGAGGCGCTGGCAGGTGGCTTCACACGCGCCACGCCAGTTTGCGCATCTGCAGAACGGGAGCTGGGAGAGGAGCAGTGCAGGGGCGAGAGCTCAGGGCAGCCCCGGGGAGAAGAGGCCTGACGGGGTGGCCCGGGGCGGAGGGGGGCCGGAGAGGCGGGCAGGGGACCGGACCCCGCGGGCGGCCGGGGGCGCCTCCGGCCCGTGCGCGCTGCGCCCCAGGCGCGCCGGCCTCTGCGGAGTGGACGCGGCCCGCGGCTGCCATTGGCTGTGCCAGGACGGCGCCGGCACCGTGCACGGGCCCCGATTGGTCAGCCGGGGGACTGGGCGGGGCTAAGGGAGAAAACGGGGTGAAGCCAACGGCCTCCCGGGAAGTCCACGCGACCGCGACCTCCTGGCTGTCAGGGCCGGGCCGGGCCGGGGGCGCGGCGGCCTCGAGGAAGGGGCGCGAGCGGGGCCGCAGGACAGGCGGGAGGACACAAGGGCAGAACCGGGCCGGGAGCCAGGACTGTGCCGGGAAGCCGCTCCCCCGAAGCAGGGAGAAATTAAAATACCTTGTCACTGAGCCAGGGCCTTGGAAGACTATAAACAAATGGGGTTTGGGAACTGCTGTTGCTCAGCGCCTCTGTGCTGGGACCCGGGGAAGTGGCTTCAGCAGCAGCGAGGACAGGGGAGGTGAAGGATCTACAAGTTGTTTTCTAGTGAACTCCTGGGGCTCTGAAGCAGGGCTGCTGCAGATTCAGGGAGAAAGGAAACCCACTGTCTGTGGCCCCCAATGCACGCACGTGCACACGTGCACACACACACACACACACACACGCACGAACGCTGGGTCATGTTCTTTAGAGAGAAGCACTAGACTCAGAGTTAGAAACCTAGAGCTGCCACCCAGGCCACAAGAGACAAGTCTCCAGCCTGGAGGCCAAGTACTTCTGGTTTGGAGGGCCAGGGTGGGGCTGGGGGCGCAGCAACAAACAAGCCAGGCCACTCCCCTCCCTCACTGCCTCCAGCCCCTGCCCCTAATCACGCAGGCCCTCATCTCAGCCTGCCCACTGCAAGGTGGATTTCTTAGACTAGGAAAGCCTTGGAGAGGATCTTTTGTCCACCCCCTGCCTTCTTGCTCAATAGAACCAAAGCTGATGAGACTAAGGACCACACAGCACCCACCCCACATGCCCCTGCTGCCCCCCACCCCACATGCCCCTGCTGCCCCCCACCCCAGACTAATGTTATCATTGACTGTTCCTAGTGAGGAACAACACGGTCAGCCAGCATCCCCGCCTGGGGGAATAAGCTTCACACACACTCACTCACCCACACACACACCCACACCCCCCCCCACACTCTACCTCTGCCTGAGCTGAAGGGACTGTCCCCTGGATGGGAGCAGAGCGCAGAGGTGATGACCCCAGTAAAGAGTCCACTTAGATTTTCCTTTAGCCTGGACTGGAAATTGAGTTTGAAAGTAGAGAGATGCCCGACCATTGTGCCCCCCTCTCTGGCCCAACCCCTAGGGCCCACCCGCACGGAAGAGCAGGAGTTGGGGTGGGGAGTGAGCAAGGGGCAGAGGCTCTGCTTCCAGTCAGAGAAGAGGGGTAGAAAGGAAGGGGTAGGCTGGGGCGGCGGGGGGCTGACAGTGGGGTTGAGGAAGGGTCAGCCAAGACTGATCTCCAGGCTCTGCAATCTCAGAGGGTAACAGAACCTGGAAAGTCATCTCAATGCAATAGAAAGAGGAGATGAGATGAAAGCATGTTTTGGCCTGGACTTGGCCACGTGTGCAGCCCTGGGCAAGTCACTCCCAGCTCCAGCGTCCTGGCCTGTGACACGGGTGACGAATACCTGCGCACGACCAGGTCGTGCAGAATGCTCGCACAACCGCACGAGAGCGTAGGATGGGGCCTCGGAAGCACAAAGTGGTGCATGGACGCCAAGGATTATCGTTTAGTCTCGCCCTTTGTTTAGTGACTTCCACAAACGTTCATTAAGAGTCCCCCAGAGACAAAGTCCTTCACGCCCACTCCTGTACCCAGGACCTCTGGTGTAGAAAAGCCACGTCGCCCACCAGCACCACTCGGGTTGTCTGGGGCTCCCCCGGCTCCTTACCCCACAGGGCCCAGGCAGACAGGGGAAGTGGCAGCCAGGGAACGTGCAAGGCAGGGAGCCCTGGGAAACCAAGAACAACCAGATCGCCCCCTTACCACCACGCAGCTCCCCGACTCCCCTGGCTTCCCAGTGCTATACAGTTCTGGCAGCTGGCTGGGCACAGCGGCGGGGGTGGCTCCGGAGATAAAAATATCCCCCCTGGTGACAGAAGTGGGGTTCCATCCTGGGAGGCAGCAAGCCTCAGGTTGACATGGCAGCAGCACTGAGCTCTCTGGGGCTGGACGGATGAGCTAAGGGATGGGGGTGGGGGGTGGGGGCAGGCGGCCTGGGGAGGAGCCCGGAGAAGAGAAACCAGGGGGTGAAAGGAGACCAGGGGAAGGTACTAAGGGCGGGGGGTACTAAGGTTGCTGGAGGGAGGGAAGGGAGACTTGAGAGGTGCTGAGGAGGAGGGTCTGGGGAAACTGAAGCAGAAGAGGAGACACAGTGCCAGCCCAGGCACCCCCTCTGCCTCCCTTTCCAACAGGTGGCCCCAGCAGCAGCCCAGCGTGGATCAGAAGAAGAAGGGGTTATCCAAAGGGCTTGAGCTTTGACCCAGACTCACAAGAACCCAGATACCCATCTCCCGGCATGGCACCCGGGTCGCCACTCCCGCAGTCCTCGAGCGAGGGAGGAACTGGAAGCTGGAAGCGGAAGGCCGGTCCACGGAAAGCCAGTCAGAGGAGGCTCCAGGAGAACTCTCTAGCTCACTTGTCTTCCCTGCTGCTCCCTCCCTGCGCTATTTAATTCTGCTCATTAACCACCTCCACGTGGACCACCCCCGCAAGCCCTCCAGACCACATCCCAACAGATGTTCCAGCAGACGCCCTGCTGCCAGGGGGCCTAGCAGATGTTGAACGCGGCCTGAGATGGGAAAGTGAGTTGGACGCCTGGCAAGGGACTGACTGCAGGTGTGATGCACTGGATGGTGGATCTGTGGGCTTGTGGCAGCCCTGTACCCCCATCTTACCCACTACCTCTGGGCATCAGTTTCCTCCTCTGTAATATATTTTGATTCTCAAATTCAATGCCTGGGGTGGAGACACAAGGGAAGTAGAATGACTGGGTCTTAGTTCCTGGGTTCAAGTTCATCCCTTCTGACTGGCTCACAGCTTCTCACACACACACACACACACACACACACACACACACACACACACACACACGCTCAGCCCTAACCTGATGCTTAAAGGAAGAGGGTGGCTTTCTTCTTTACCCTAGGAAGGTCTAGCCTCCGTGATCTTTCCAGGAAGTTCTCTTCTACACATCTACCTTCAGTCCATCTTGCTGCAATCAAAACTATAGCACGTTTTCTTGGCATTTCAGAGAACAGAAAGAGAAATCAGGCAGAACAAAGAAGGCTTTGGAGTGAGTCTGGTGCAATTTGCTTTATTAGATCTTTCAGATCAGAATTTCTAAAGCGTTGTAGAGAGATGGCCAGGATTTAGGGAGTTTAGCAACACCCATGGCATGTGTGTTCAGGGGCCCCAAGAAGTTTTCAAGGCCAGTGGGTACAGCAGAGAAAACTGGGGCCACAGTGCCAAGTTCGATGTACAAGAGCTGATAAACAGGGAGCACGGAAGCCAGGGCATAGGGATGAAGGAGAAGCATCTCCAGCCCGCAGGCCTGCCTGCCAGGGAGTCACTAAGCCCCCAGGAAGCCACGCTCACTTACCAACCTAAGTGGTGCCAAGGCCAGCTGGGAGCCTAATCATCCCGTGCAGCCACCATCATTATTTGCAAACCTGACTTCTTATTGCAGCTGCAGAATCGACTGGAAACCTGCCTGTACCCAACAGCACCACCTGAGCACCTCCTTCCCAGCCCTTCCAGCCCCCAGCACTCTCCCAGGGTACGCCCTGGTCGCTTTCCCACCATGCCTGCTTCTCTGACCAAAACCCTGACACCGGTCCCTCAGTGGACCTCTGCCAGCTCTGGGACGCCAAAGAAGAATGCACACTTGGTGTTTTCTTCCCAGAAGGGAATCAGCTCCATAGATGCAGCAGGAGCTGAAGGAGGGAAGAGCTGAGGGGGGCACGAGAGACAGAGGGCCTGGCGCTGTGGGACAAAGCAGCCCTTGCCTTGAGCAGATAACAACTGGATGTTGTTGTTCCCTTC